AAATGTATTTATTTATTAATGTATTCAATAGAGAACGTTTTGCATGCAGAAAAATGCAATTGCCAAGAGAAATTGTAGAAACGCTCGTTAGTTATTGAAATGAAATGATTTGAACAGTTTCGTGCCCTATTTCGGGAAACATGTCGGTGAGTAATAATATTCTTTAAATAATGCGCAAAATTGCCTTTTGAATTTCGTAACGGCATAACAATGAGTTTTAAATATTAAATGCATGTTCTAATTTCGTACTCTGTAAATGCATCAACCTTATGTTACTTGAGGTAGATGTAATTTTAGACGTCTATAAATACCCCACTAGACACGATGGACTTTAAACTTTAACCCTTCGAAAGCTATTTGCACAGGAATATCTTAAGTGTAGGGTAAATTGGGGTATAATACACTTTTATAACTAATAGTTTTTTACTTTTTTAGATTACTCAGCACACACTCGATAATATTCAATATAATTTTAGAAATCCCAAGAGTTCCCTATTGATATAAGTCCACTCAAGAATAAAAAGAAATTCGCACCACTTTCGCACTAAGTTGTTAAAATTTTCTACAGATCGACAGGAATAGCTGAAGCCCCCAAGGCCATATTTATAATAGTTTTTACATAATTGCCTAAGTTAAAAGTACTTACACATATGCAATATGCATTACAACATTTCTGTAGTTGCAAATCTACGAATAGCGCGTACATACCATCTTTCATACTTCATTTATATCTCCGAGAAGAATTTACTCTATACCAGCTCTACCTGCCTATACTAACGACTAATCTTTCTTCTATAAAACGATCATATTGGTTGATTAAACTTTCTGTATCTAAGGGTCAGCTGGGTAACTAAATACCCAGTTGGAATAGCCTCGTTATTGAGGTACAGGACGTTCCCTTTGTGCCCTACGAACGGGGCCCGCTAGGCCGAGACTATTCAGCAAACTCTATCCGAGATAAAAGCGGCAACGTCGTCGGGGCGCTCGCGCATTCACGTTGCAGCTGCTAGTGAAAAGACACTAGGCCGAGTTCGACTAGTAAACACCACGGGCGACCGGCGCGCACGGCCTGTTTCCTACAATTTCGTCGATTTCGGTGCATGTTTTTGCCGAGTTTTCGAATTTTCACGGGGGGTGACACTCGATCTCGTCGTCGTTGGTGGAGCAAACGGTCGATTAGGCGGTGAAATCGCCGAAAAATTAGCTTAAAACAACCCGATTGTCGATTGCCGTGCGGTGGTTTGTGGAAGGAGGGTTGCGCGTCGCCGAGAGAGGGTGCGTGACTAAATAAAAAAAAAACCGATGAGTGTGGAATGAGGCAGGCCTTTGTTCGCATGCACATCGACGATTTTATTAGGTATTAATTTAATTTTTACTGTCGATTATTGCGCTAAATACGCTAACGAAATTAAACAATGGTTGTAAATAAGCAATTATTGATTGTTTAAAGATTGCGCTATTTGTAATGCACATAGCTATTTCGGTATTCCAGTAATGAGAGTGATAATATTTTTTTTTATTTCCAACTTTAAAATATTGTTTTCCAAAAGTATGTGGTGTTTTGGGAGCGATCGAGTTTATTGCTTCATCGTTATCTTCAAATCTTTTATTTGTTAGCAAGTTATTTTGGGTAACATATAACATTAAATTCTAGCGTGATTTACGACGATTTCTACTGCTTTCGTTCATATCCATCAGTTCTATAAAAAATAGTAAAATACAGCCCTTTATACACATTATTCTGACCAGTCGTAAAGGCATTCAATGGGGACAAACTGATAAAAAGCTGTGAAGAACGAATTTTACAAACAGTAGATATTTGTAGAAAAATTCTCGTACTGGCAAGCATAATAAACCTAAAAGATTCTAATTTATGATTAATAATTAGCAAATTCATTGAACATTCATTCTATTAATTAATCATCTAGACACTGCACTGGAAGGTATTCTTTGATTATCAAAGCATTGAAGGCATCCCTTTGCATATAAAAACTTACGCTAATAACCGTTGCTCACGAATAGCACATTAGCTGACATGCGATGTAATTAAAATTAACAATAGTAATTATTCAGCAGCGTTATCTAATGATTTTTCCCGATATAGTTAACCGTTCCGGGAACATCAACTTAACCACCGACAAAGTATAGAGAAAATCGGCTTCCTTATTGATAATGCATGTTACACACGTTCAATACATAATAATTAATATTTCTGTATTACATAGGTCATTACACTTCGATGCATCCACTAATGTTCACTGTATACAGTCCGTATACTTGGCTAAATTGACTCATTTTCGTAAATATTGTGGAGAAATTCGAGATTTTCAATTGCCATGTTTCGAAATTATTTCAGTTTCAAGTTCTTCTGGGAAGTCGTCTGTCAGAATTTAATTTATTCGAACGACATAAACCGCTAATTATTACGATTACAGCGCGACACATAAAAATATTTTCGTTTAAAAATAATTAACTATTATATCTTTCAATTAGAGTTCGAATAGTTTAAATTACAAGTCCCAATTGAATCGGTTTGAGCATAATACAAATTTAGTGATGACGTTTCGTTAGGGGTAAAATAATTATCGTAATGACTAAATTGAAAAATATTGTGACGCCAAAATTGTAATTTATTTGTTAAAAAGTAGAAACTATTAATTTCCGCGTCCACGTCCTTTTGAGAGATATTCACGGATATCGGATAACGCATTTAATTTTTATATACACCTGTTGCACGTAAAAGAATTCACGAAATCTTATCTTGCGTGTCGTAATATTCAATACTTGTTTATGCGTGCGGTAAGTACCTACTCGTTCTTTTACGATATTTTTACCAACTGAAATGTCAATTATTCACTCGGATGCTCTAGCCTAGCGTATGAAAATATTCAGAGAATTTATATGGGGACATTTGATTATATTTTTTTCTAATAACTGTCTCATTTCGGTGTTTCGTTTGATAGTAAATAATCGACTAACTGAACGGGTTATGTAAATAATTTAACGAAACGATAACTGCATACAGGGTGGTGTATTTTTGTAGATGTCAATAATTTTTAATACATTTATAGGTTGTCACGGATTCGAAGCTATATTTAGGAATCCCTGGAAATTATTAGAATCATAGCTAAAATCGTTTTCGAAAATATTTCCTGCTAACATATAAAAATATTTTTAGTTGTTTTACGAATTGCAGTGGAGTATGTTTCCAAAACTAATATCTTTTTCTGTGTACTAATATCTTAATTTCTTCTTGCTAGAAATCATTTTATTGTTTAAATAATGTTTAATTTCGATTGGGAACACCCTGTAAATCGAGCTCTAAATCACTATTAGGAAATTTACACGTTTTAACAACTTACCAGATGTTGGAAATCGAATTAGATATTTAGATAAGCGTTCGACATACGAAAAAGGTTCCGCATTGTGTATACTTACAGAAAAATTAATTACACACGTTTATCGTCGTTCACATTTTAAAATCGTTAATCGAAACTGATTTATGACCTTAATAAATTAATAATTTAATTTTACGCGTCGAGATTACAAGCCGTGATAAATGATAGAATAGAGCGCCTTGTAGACACAAAAAAAATGTATTCTTGTGTTGCGACCGAGCATCATTCGTTAAACCTCTTGTTAAACTTTGACACCAAGTTTACTACCTACAGGTTTAGGTAAGTGTAGATGTTTAACTGACTGTTATCAGTTCATCTCTATTTGATAATAATAATAGATAATAAGTGATTTTGATTTATCAAATTTTTATTGGGTTTGTGGAACATTTTTTGCTATAACCTGTACAATTAAATTCTCATTTTGTCACACAACAGCGAACACAAAAAGCAACATAAAAATGTTGTGGTATTTGGCAGTGTGAACATTTAGACCTCGACATCTAGTTTTTTTTTTATTTCGTTCGTCTACGGTCTAATTCTATCGACCTCCTCTTTATTTATAATTGCTAATTGTAACCGGCAATTAAGAGATTGCGTTGCCACCCGTCCGAATACCGCAATAATAAAACTGTCGAAAAAAAAAAGAACAGTACAGACTCGGCAGAGAGAGATCTGGGACTAATTCCGTTAATGCGCGCTGCAACGTTGCTGCGTTGCCAGCGGGAAAAATTACCGGCGAAGAAATCCAAGAAGATGAAGATGAATCTGTTAAAAATTTAATGTCTATATAATACCTAATTGTTGGTCGTAAAATCATTTCGATTTTTTTGTGCCATGATGAAGAAATTAGACTAGACGAGTATGATGTTACTAAAGCAGTAGGTAATATTCCACATATTATTTAGAATAAATTTTGGATCTTTTATGTGTTATCCAATGTTAAATATATCCAATAGTTAAAATTTAATTCACCGCATTTCGCGTGGAAATGCGCCCGGAGCAATGGCATCCGCTCCGGCATACATACACATACATTTACCTCGCACTTACCTGCACTTACCTGATAGTTAACGTTTTTATTTTATTTCATATTTTTTTTCGCATTTCATCTGGCCGATTTGATGGGTTCGTAGCGGTACTTTTCGATAGATAAGCTTCGGCAAATTACCATCGTACGTAAGTACGATTAGTTAAGAGAAGGTTTACGGACGTTTTATGGACTCTAAAAAGCGCGCTAGAAAGAATAAACAAGAAGGGAAAAGTGGAAGATGTCATAAAAGAACAGTACTTTATGCTAAATCCGTCCCATTACGACGAGAAGCTAAAAGTAAATTGCGAAAGTAAATTATTGTTTCGTTAATTAGTCAGTAATTTGATCAAGGATTTTTACAGTCACGACAAATATTTGAATTTCGTTTCGAAATGCAGGATTTGTTTATTAATTGCGCGTCAGGTGTAACCCTTTCTTATATGAACTAGTCTAAATGTGTATCATAATAAAGATAAGATAACAAGAATGAGATAACGCGAAAATGCTATTCTCCGTGTTGTAGTCGAATAAAATTTGTTATGTGTAGTGGAAGGTCCTGGTAACTAACCCAAATGGGACTATTAGACGAGGTTTTCCCGAAAAAGGTACCAAGGAAAATTTAGTTACTAATACTACCTATTTCTCTAACTAAATTATTAATGAGCTCATTTTATTAGTATTTTGTTTGATTGGTTTTTAATGCTATATGACCTGTTTTTCATTGATTGTTTTTCTTATCTTAACAGAACTATTATTTATCACTGTTTTTTTAATAATTTTCTTTGTTTTTCTTCATTTTGCTGTAAAATGTCTGCATTTTCTATTTGAACTTTACCATTTTAGGTTATTTTGTTTATCAAAACATAACTTAAATCTAAAATATCTATGTACTTATATTTAAGTTTGTCGTAAATATTTATAAGTATACATTAAATTAAAGTGATCCTACTTTTGAATAGCTCTTATAGGATGTTCTCTATCGAAATTTCACAATTTTTGATAATTTTTACTGCTTCGAAATAAAAAAAATATAACACATGTTTATTGTTTTATTAATCCTATCTATATTTTTATCAACCCGCTTATCTTAGCCGATTCGTTTTGCAGGATTCGGGCAGAGTTCAACCCGCAAGGACTGCGCAATCGAAAAGGACATCGGAAAAATCCACCAAAACAGCACCTGAAAAGTATGTATAAAAGTATTTTCTTATCGTAATTTCCACATAAATGATAAAATTGTTAATCCCGTACTGGCGTATAGATAACCATCAATACAAATTCCCGCTAGTACTTCGCGAGATGCTACGTATATGCAACCAACATAACAATTTTATGTGTGGTGTATTGCAGTAACAAGTATACAGGATGAGTCGTAGGAAAGTTACAGGGTGAATTATGAATTCGATTCGAAATGTGAGATAAATTTTGTGATACATGATTATATTGATATAATCTGAAAGAGTTGTGTATTGCTAATTTTAATTAAGCGCGGCTTTATTTATTTACAGGGTAATTTTTAACGCAATTTAATCAAAAAAAATGAACTGATACGGTCACGTAACCATTAAAATATCCTCTTTCAAATTCGAAAAGTCGTCGGTCGGTCTTCGATCGCCTCGCCTTGGCCGTTACCATTTTTTTTTCTAAATTACTGCGGTGTTCCAACTTCGAGTTTCGATAACAAAAACTGGAATCGAGTTTCGTTTCAAAGCCATGTGCGCATCGAAAAGAGGCCGTTTCCTATACCGAAAGGCTAGAATTATTAATAAAACAATACAAGTATCACGAATAATATTAATAATCCGACTCATTTTAATTTGTTCTATAAATAAGTTACTAATGTGATATCATTATTTGGTAGTTAATAAAATTAAAAATGGGAATTGCCTTGTTTCTGGAACATTTCATTGGATGATAAATCCTCTTGGTTTTCTTGGTGACGTGCATGTATTTCCTTGCTAATCATCCGGCATCGAGGACTGGTCGATGACCAGAAATATAACCGAACATTTCAAGGATGGATGAATTTCGTATTTTCGTTGCGATCGAACGGATGACTTTTTTTCAATTTCAAATTAACGATGCTCGTGAATTATTATGGAAATATGTCGTTGAAATAATGTGTATGCTATTTCCGGGTGAATTATAAAACGTTCCGAATGCATTGGTTTTTTTTTTTCACCCGGTAAACATTGGTAACTAGAGGTTTAGTGAGGCTTTCACACGAGCATACACACACTCACACACACCAGTAACAAGACCGTTTTTTTTGCGCAAAACCTGATAGTCCTGTATGTACGCACGGTTTTACAGCCCACCGTCTTGTCCTTAGACCCATCCCATCTTAGACAATACGTTATTGCATAATTTTTTTTCGTATACGAACATAAACCGGTGGGTGAACTTCGTTTTGAGGCGTTATTTACACAGTAAAAGTCGCCTTTTTGCACATATTCAAGTAAATACATGCATATACTAGCGTTTGTCAGATGAAGTTGCAACACCAAGTTGCATGTTTTGTATGGTTATTTGCATCCCAATTGACACAAACGAATATTAAATCGGCTATTAAACGCTTATTATGCGTGTAGGAAATGCAGAACGGTTTTCCTTCAGGAACACGTATCTTATTACACGCGTTTCCTGTCACATTTCTTCCTATACGACTTCCTAATTATTATTTACGCTCGTCTTATACTATATAAAATAAAATAAAATACTATCTACGCGGATGAGTATTAGATTTTTTGGTTATTTTTTTCAGGTCTTCATCGACACCATCTACAGGCAATACGTTTTTCGATTCTCTAAAGAGGGTCCAAGGAGCTCTGTCGCCGAGCTCTAAAGCCAAATCGGATCCGAAGAGGACGCAACCGTTGCCCGAAGTCCCAAAGCGGGTTAAGGAGCGGGACAAAGAAAGGTCCAGGCCCAAGGAAAAGGAGAAGGAGAGGAGAAGCTGGTTCCGGAGCCCTTCCAGGAGCAGCCAGAAAAAAGAGGCAAGTTTAATGAACCGTTTTTAATGATATGTTTCATTCACATTGGCTTTGTTTGTGGTTGTTATCGGCGGTATTTTGTAAATATTTCGTTCGAATGTAGATAAAATCGTCGACGAGTTCTCTCAATACTCGCGGAATCAACCAGAAATTTGGGCAGCAGGAGGTCAGGAAAAGGAGGCCTGTTAGCGCTTTTCCCGAGGCGACTAATATTGTATACAAAAGGTATTTTTTTTATTTTTTTGTGGAATGTCCTGGTCGATTTTTTATGGAGTTTAAATATAATCGTATTGTTCTCGTTTAAGGGGGAAAACTGATAATGTGTTTGTACACTTTTTCTTCGCTATTGATCAAACAAATTTTCTTTGCGATCCATTAATGTAACACGAGACTATTGAAGGTTTAGGAGAAAGTAAATTTCCTCCATTTTTTTACTTCCCATTAGAAACCAACGGTAAATTAACTTCCTATATTTATAAAATCTTGCCAGTACGCAGTTTTATTTGAAATGTAAAAAATGAAATTATATTCATATAATAATTTTCATTTTATGAGTGTGACCAGATAAAGAATAATAACCTTCGCATAATTACGCTGGACAGGCGATAGGTGATATTAAATTTCTTCTAAATAAAGTAATATCAATAACTTTACGTTAAAATCGCAATCCATCCGTTCACGGTCAACATAAAATTATCATTTTACTTATCTGCTGCGTTGAGGAAAATCCTCAAGGAATTTGTCAAGAAAGTGAGTAAGTATTTAACGAGTTTATTTTATTATAGGATAATTTATTAAAAATTTCGACTCGTTACAATGCTGCTGTTAATGTCGACAATAAATTAAACATTTTAATTAATTCGCGATTTCCTCAGCAGCTACCCCACCCATTGTGGGCTCGGGGATCTTCATTCGACGGTGACCTCCATATAAAGAGATTGTCGAAGATTTTTCGATTATCCCGGTTATACGAGTTCTCGATTTGAATTCGAAGAGCGGTTTTTTCGGATTTCGGTTATACATTCGCGGTTTTGCTTTAGGACAAAAATGCGGTTGCAATTTCGGCGAACGATAGAAATAAAATGCCATTTTAAATTTAGACGAAATGTGGGTGGTTCGGACGCAAGATGATTTTTAGGATCGAATTTCAGAAGAAATTTTAAAGCGAAAAAAATAGAAGTTGCGGAATTTCTTGGGGTAAAGTATGCAGGGTGTAACAAAAAGGTGAGTGGTAAATTGTACCACAAATTCAGGGGGAAAAATTGGACGCTATTTACCTGTTATTGTGACAAAAAAGTACCCCGGAAATTTGGAATATAACGCAAAATTCCTAATCTTCATTAATATTTCTTTAGTGTTCTTCAAAATATGCTCCTTTTGAAACGATACACATAGTCAGACGCCATTTCGGATCATATATGTATAAGCATTTTTTATGCCCTTTTTGGTATAAGGCTTTTAGCTCCCGCGAATTTTCCTTGATGGCATTTATGGAGTCAAAACGGGATCCCCGAAGTGGCAATCTGATCTTGGGAAACAGAAAAATTTCGCACGAGGCTATGTCTAGTGAGTAAGGTGGCTGGTCTATGATACTTCTCACGAACCTAGCATATCTGCATATCTTCTTAAAAGGACACTCAGCTCTATATCGGAACAAGAGCCGAGCCTCAATTCGCAGTATGTCTAATTGATTGAGCGATATCAAACGAGTGATTTTACGGAAGATGTTATTAAGGTCATCTGCTACTTCTTTAATACTAGCATGATGATTTTCGAACTCAATTTTCTTCATTTTCTCGCCGTTTTTATTGGTTAAAGAGGTCGAAGACCGTCCGGAACATTAAGGCAAGTCTTTAGGGATCTCCCGATTGTCTTTAAAAGATTTGTACCATTTGTAAACTTGAGTTTACGATAAAACAGAGTCTCCTTAAGCATTTGCATCAATTCAGCCTCACGAAATTCCGTTCAATGCTCAAAATACGACACAAACTCTTCGTCCGTTGCAAAATTCGCAGAGCGCTACTGAGATGAACTGATTCAATCAGCTGTTACAACCAAACTAATCGAGAAATCTCTCTATTTTTTGCACACTAATTAATAACAGCGTTACCTACATACAGTTAAATAGTTAAAAATATGTAATGCAGGTAATTTAAATCGCAATAGGCAACTTCGCATTCGTCAAAAACCCTTGCCGCATTTATCTCCCGTGTCCCATAACCCCGTACCCGGTGCCTTTATTTTCTTTTATAAATGAATAACGCTTCACCACACCGGCACACACACACCATGGTGTCTTCACACTACATTGCACCGTTGCGGCCCCCACCACGCTCCGCCATCCAACCATTCCTCTTTTCCTCTAACCGTTCTCGGTCGGTTGATAGCAGCCGCACAACGCACGAAATTCAAAAATAACAAACAAACGAACGAGTCGACTTGAGCAAGGTGGTCGTGCGACCGACGAGAGTGCTTTCCTTTCGGCTGTAATTTACGTTTAGTTTCCCTATTTTGTATGTTTTTTTTTGTGATGCCTGATCGACGGTTGATCAGACCAGCGAGTTCGGATTACATCGGATTGTTACGTGCGGAGTAATTAGTGCGTGCGTGGGTCTAATTAATGCACGGCGGCATTCGGATTTCTATGTGGATTTGGATTCGTTTGCTTTAGGTATAGACGTGTTGGTTTTGCTTGTATTTTGCGCCTGCTTTTTGTTGTTTCCTTGTTTTTAAAGTGCTCGCAATACAGCGACCATTGTATTGCGGATAAGAAGTAATTGGATGATTTTATTAAGGTTGTTTAAAAGAACGCGATGACCTTGCTAATGGCGAACTATACTCACTAACACTTGGGTACTTGCTCGCTTTTGTTGTTCGTTTTTTTTTCTGTCGAATTTTTTTTCTCTCGAAGGGAACAAAGGAACCCTTAAATAGGCGACTGGGAGGGGTGTCGATTTAATCTCTAAAAGTCTATGCTAATGGTACACACGTGGAAATTTCGGTTTTGTTGGCCATACATTTGAATTTTGTAGGTCTCTTGCTCTCAGGGTTGGTTACCTATCTTTTGATGTCCAATAAACCCAGCTGGCACTTTGTGTCTAGTCTCAAATTTCGAGATATAATAGACGAAAGTTAAAAAGAACCATCGTATAAAATTCCTTTTGTTTGGATTATAAATTATCCCAACGTTAGATTAATTTGATAAATATCGTAAATGCGAATAAGTTCTGCGACAGATTTCGAGGTCACGGTTAAACGTTCTATTACCAACGAAAAATTTTGGTATACCTATCTCGATTCCAACGGAAAATAGTGGGTTTTAACCAGCGATAACTGCAATAGTGAGAAATTATTACGGTTTCGAATTAATCGATCGATTCTAAAATTGCTCATTTAGCACCCATTTAGCACTTTACACCTACACCACTATTAACCCCTATACGTATACCCCTATTAGCTTCAAAGGGAATTTATAAAAACTTCAACAACACCTGAATCAAAACTTATCCTAAACCCTCATTGGTATTCACGAACAAGCCCGAACAAGCTTTTTATCTTCATACATTAAGCCTTTCCTTCAAAACACACAGTAAACTTCTTTAATCGATTGTTTGTAGAGGCGCCGAAACCGTCATGTAAAAGAGCTCTTGACTCACTTCCTAGGCCCGTCCCCAGTCTCGATATCTTCTCGAATCGACCTTATTTGGTGGCCGATCGCCCGATGAATGTCAATTTAAGTATAATTTTCGCTCATAGATTTATTCCAATCGACTCTCTAGTCTGCTCTTTCGGTACGCGAGCCGGCGCGACGCTCCATTTATGGCTAAACGGTCTCGAGACAAATTTTAATGGCCGCTTAATAAAACCGATTCGCTTATGTATTTTCCTTTTTATTTATTTTTTTCGCCAACACCAGCTTAATGCGGATTACGTTCTTGAGGAGGCGTTGCGAAGCGAACGAACGATAAACACCGGCCGGAAAGATTGGTTTCCTTGAAAGGATAAAAACTGGATCCGAGATGTTGAGCGTTTTTTTAGGTCGTATTGTTTTATATGCCCACTCTGGGTTAAACCAGTCCAAGTCGCGATCTCGGTGTACTAGTACCTGCATGGTGGAACAATAAAGGCTACTCCCTACAGTACCTTCAAGGAGTGGAGAAAACTCTTAACAGAAATTATGATTCCTGTATGCAGCTCCTAGATTTTATTGCACCGTTTAATAACGTTAACGATTGAATTTATCGAAGCGTGGGATCATTCGTTTGTAATTGATGGAAGTACATTTTGACCTTCCTACGTATCGTCCGACTTATTTAATTTTTCAAATTAATTACCTCGTAAATAATCGTCACTTCGAAAAAGTGTTTCATTAGGTAAATGATTAATAGTGGATTGTAATAAAGTGGAAAAATGAATTGTTGGTTTTTGACGACTTGGCATATACCGAATTGTGGACCTCTGCGAATTATTTATCGCGAAAACTGCTACGTTTACTCCTTTTGATTAGTACACCGGCGTCTTCGCTATAAACCTACATCCTTTGCTATATCCAATTTGACATGCTTCTCATGATTGAAAGCAACACAAAACACGTCTGTATTCCGTACGACGTGTACAAGGTCTTAAATAAATTTAAAACGCTGCTCGGCAGGCCTCGAGGCGGGAACATCTCCGTGGAAGTGCAATGTTTAAAAAAATGCGGCAATTAACCAATTGACCGACTTTCTTTCCGTTCGGCTCGCTGCGGGAGTTCGGTGTCGATGATTTTCGTATTCGAATTTTGTACGGTATTTCCTGTTTTTAAATTGCCTATTTTGTGGGTTTATTGGCGCTTAGAACGAGCCGTTTACTCGTACTGCAGGTGGTCGTTGTAATTTTAAATTTTTTCCCATGTTTACTACAAAGTATTCTTATTTTAGAGATCTCTTAGCAGAGAGTTTATTCTGTTTATCGAGTAAATCTCCAAATTTTCCATTCTATTCCTGTTAATATCATTTATGACTCTTTCTTTATGCATGGAAGCATAATCCAGTGGAATTGCAATGTACACAATTGTATTTTCGATAAGTTCCCTACCAAGTTTCCCAGGCGCTAGAAATAATTTTTTCGCGATTAGGTGTATCTAATGATTCTGTTACAAAGCAATTGCACCTATTGCGTTTTATTTGTAATAATAGTATCAGTAAATATTTGCATTATGATTATTTTCTTACGAGTAATTCCATTTATGCCGCAACAAGAATTATTCGAGCAAATGAAATACTGGCATCTACGAAATTATTTTTAAATTATTCGACAGATAATTACACTTACAACTAATTCGTTCTCTGTATTTATTAGTTAATTGAAGGTATGCAATTAAGAGCACTGATAATGTGAGTTGTGTATTACAATACCAGGTGGTTTACTGACCCGGTATTTAACCGATACATTATACAGTACTGCTTTACTCTGTACTGATTATTTGATTGAATTTTGTGGGACATTAATCCGTCTCTGCGCAATGCCCGGATACATTTTCTCCATTCGCCTTCGTTACCTGCGAACTATTATCTCGTCTGTTTTTTTTTGCTCCTCCGTTTTCTGTTCTATTCGCGAAATCGCGAGAAAAGCCCGCAGGTGTTTCTGTGGAATGCGTCATTCGGTTAGCATTGCAGCTAAATTGCGATTGTTTTGCAATTTCGCAATGCTTATAGCGGCAGCATTTTCGCTGTTCGCTACTTCCACGATGGCCGGGCAAGGTGCACTTCTTGCGAAATCCGCGCGGTCGTTTGTGGTAAAAGTAGCGCTGCAAAAAAGATTTTATTACCGGAATTTGCAATGCGCCTATCACGCGAAATCGTTGGCGATTCGGCTCTTTGCGGGGGTATTTAAATATTGTAATATTTCGAATTTGAATTCGGAACGGATTGGATTAGCATTCGATACGACGAGAAACGCCCATTAACTACGTATTCAATTCTACTAAGAGCGCTTTTGTCTAATAAAATTAATTCGTACTGTATACGCAATTATTTCACTTACTTTCTCTTCTTTCTCTTCGAATAGATTTTTGTTTTTTTTTTCTTTTCAAACGTATACATACCGCAACGCGACTAGTCAGTCCTCTATACGGTATACGTACCGGTAGTTTGTAATATTTTCTTCTGCCAGTTTGCTAATTGCAGCCTTTCTACAGGGCGATTCGAGTAATTTAATCTAACGTTTGCGATATTTTTTATTCGATTCGTTTGAGCGCTGAAATCGGAATCCCCCTGTACACACTAGCATCTGTTCTTGACCTCGATATTGGCGTACAACTGTCGTGCAATACAAAAAAATATACAAAACTAATCCATATTTACAGTAAACTGTTCAGAAATGTTTATGGAACGTTTTGCTGGAAAGTAGAATATTTTTTAACTCGGTGAAAATTCTTGAAAGCTAGATAAAATGAAACACACATAAACTCTAATCAGGCACAAAGTCCATTTGTATTCTGTAATAGAGTGATTAATTTGTGAATTTTAATTAATAGGCCGGAGACAATAGAATTTCCCGTGTGAAAACGAAACCGATTTATAAAAATTTCATCGGGTCTATTTCGAAGGGAGTGTAATAATAGGATTGTTATATTCTCGGAGATATTACGGTGAATTGTCAATTGTTCACGATTCTCTGCGATGTTTCTTGCGCTTCCACGCCGAGATAAAATCCCATAATTTCTATAAATTTATTGTAAAATTGCTGGTTGCGCGGCATTAGATTAGGATAGGCCGAGTGAAATAAAATACCTTCGGTTGTAGCGAGATTGATAATGGCCGAATTCGCTTCGATGCGGCTGTAATTATAACTTGTTCCAGTAGATTTCATTCGGCGATAATTTGTTAATAATTCCATACGGACGTTTTCTCATCAATGATAGATCATAATTTTGGATTAGACATTGTTCGGTGGATTTTAATTCGAAATAAATCGAATGGATTTAACGTGTGTAATGCATTTCTGTTAGGTGTGATTGTAAAAATTGTTTTGAAATTTCTCACAGAGATCTTATTGGTTTCTTAACAATTTAATTTATTTGTGCTTTAATGGATGAAAGACGTTCTATTATCTATGGCATCATAGGTCAAACGGTGAATTGGAAAATGTAAATTATATTGAATTAAGGCCGTTTGATAAGTCGAAGGGGGAGTTGCTTAGTTGATTTTATTCATTCTGATTATTACTATTATTTTTTATTTCTGCCGCGGTACTTCTTCCATCTCTTCAATAGCTAATTTCGCATAAAGGATTACGATGTAAATCGAAATGATTAATAGAAAGGCTATTTAAATGCATTATCAGAAATTGAATTAATCACCGATTTATAAATAGCTATCTAGTATGAAATGCTCAATGAACTGTCTATGCGTTCCTTATCTTCGTGGCCGTTATTTAAATCCACGCTATACTGAAATAAATTTGATTTCAATATTCAACATTTACGTTGGATTTACCTAATTTTATTTTCTTTTTATTGTTCCAAGTAAAAATCATACCGTTCCACTTTCAATGTTAATATAAATGCTCACTTTCTAATTTTAATTCCGTTGAGAATACGCTAATCTTGTACTTGTACTTACTTTTATCCCAATTGAATGCTGATGATTCGAAATTTCTATTTTGTTACTGCAAATGCTTAAATTATTCTACAGCTCTATCTAATCCATTATGTGTGTACATTTTCGCGTACGTGTATATTTATGATCATGATATGATCCATTAGAGTAACTTTTTATTACTTGCTATAATTTAAAGCTGTAGTTTGATTACATAAAGCGACACTTTATACGCTGTAATCTTTACAGTGTAAATACATTTCCAGAAATATTAATAATCTCGTTTCGCTGTAAACTTAATAGATGCAGTAAACGAACATGTATCGCATAACACGTTATATACCTTAAAAAATAATCGAATTAGTCACAGCTAATTGCATTTTAACTATGTACTTCATTTCAAGCACCGATGATTTTCGAAACGAATTGTTTCGGTGTGTAGAAACACTTCCTATATTTTTTGTTGTAACATTGCGACACCTTCTCTAAAAGAGCTATTAAAATAAAATTAATTTATGATTTTATACATTAAAAAATCTTGTTATTTAAAGTACTAAATACTAAATTTAGATACGGATTTGTAGCTCTATGTGCGGGTGATTTATTCAACGAGTAGTTAGAATATTTGGTGTATCAATCGATTAATTTTCATTCAGTATTCTTGTATATGGAAAGTTGTAAAAGTTTTTAAAGGTTTTCTACCAAATATGAAAATTCCCACGCTTACACATCTGCATTCCCAGTGCACACACGACACACGTCATGTTTATGTGTTTATTATGACTTCATTGTTGCATAAACGAGCCCAAATAACATTCTACATATGACATAGTTATGTAATGTAGACGCTTATTATGATGCTTTGTACAAATTACCATTTTTCTCGCATTTTCAAGGTTTAATCAAAAAGTTTGTGCAGTAAACTATAACATAAAAACGTTATATTTAGAATTTTAAATAGCACGAAACAACATGATGCAGGTGAATAAATTTATTCATTTCGAAAAATTTTAAAGAAACTTTTATTTTCTTTTATAAATTTAGGAACGCGTTTCGAACAAAAATACGCTAACGGAACAATAACAAAGCAACGAGAACAAATAACGATTATAACAGAGTTTCTTATGCTAAGTATACCGAAAAATCGACCAGGAGAGACTCATTAGATTTTCGAAAAATGAAAAGTATCAAAGCAATATTCCGTAGAGGACAAACTGCGAAATTAGACGGACAAAATTTGGGCGATCTATCCAGAGCTTCTTCGTTTACTAATTTAGATGCTGATCCTAAAAACGGGAAAGGTGCCAGACCCAAGAAGACTTCCTCCAGAGAGAGAATAGACAAACTCGCCGGAGATGGAAGGAAAATCGATAAAAAAGGTAAACATCCAACGAACCGTCCTTAACGTATCGAATTCAATTTCATCGCTTTCATTAGGAATTACTCGCAACAATAACAAATTAGAAACCGAAGAGAATCAACAATACTCCATCGAATCGCATTCGGAGGAAGAATTGTACCATTTGAGAAGGCAACTGCAGGAGATGGCGCAAGAAAAGACGAATTTGGCTCTGCAGCTGGGCGAACAGAAAGGACAATTGAACATTATGCAAAAGGAAATACAAAAACTGAAGGTAGGAGTAACAGTTAATCAAGTCGTTTTATCAGACACTCCCTGTAAAGCGCGCGCGCAGGGCTGTTTGTAATAAAACCTTTTCTATTCTCAGCCTTTTCAGGAGGAATCGAACATGCAACTGGAACATTTGACGGAAGAAAATACCGCTTTGAGGAACAGATTAAGGGACGTGGCCCTTTCCCCGTTGTCCGACAACGAAAAGAGGCAGTTGCTCTTCGATTCGCACCGCCACCACAGCTCAGCACCCGCTTCAATTGCTACTAACGTAAGTAAATCTATCGACATTCTCCACTAATATCATCATATTAACGCCATCGTTATTATAAAACTCGAATAAATTACATTTAAGCTTATAACATAAGCGCATAAAGAACATATTTCTTGGGATGAAGCATTATGGTGATTTAGAAAGCTTGTTTTTTGTTAATCCCTTTCGAAACTCTTATCGACTATGCATACAGCCACTCAAATTGATACCTATCACTGTTAAATCTGTCAAAATACTTCAACCAATATACAATCTTACAAGTTTTGTTTACAGATAATTGACGATGGTAACGGAGGTGGTACAACATGCACCACGCCGGATTGGGACAAGCACTCCTCCGGTAACGTCAGCGAAGTCTCCGTCGCCTGTCTTCAAGATAAAATAAACCAGATGCAAGAAACCCATTACAGGTACGTTAACACGCCGAATATCCTTTCACGTGGAATTACCGTCGCGTTTCCAGCACGAACGAGGAACTCCAAGCGACGGTCCAGGAGCTGACCGATCTCCAACGGCAGTTCGCGGACCTGCAGCACGAGAACGAGCGCCTCAACGAGGAGAAATCGCTGATGTTCGACAGCCTCTGCTGCCAGACGGAGCGGCTGAACGACTCCCGATCGGAGATCGAATCGCTGAAGCAGCTGCTCTACCAGGAGAAGGGCGATTCGGAGCAATTCGAGACGGCCGTCGAGCGCGAGCAGAAGCTGGTCGATCTGCTCAAGTCCGCGCAGACCGAGCGCGAAGGTTTGATGGTCAAAGTCGAGCAGCTGAACAACGAATTGCAGGAGACCAAGAGCGGTAGCATCCAAAAGGACGAACAAATCGGCAACCTGAGAGAAAGAGTAAAGACTTTGGAGTGCACGTTGGACGCCAAGCACGCCGAACACAAATTGCTGGACCAGGAGCTGGCCCAAGCGAAGGATCAATGCAGCGGCAAACAAATCGAAATCAACAGATTAACCGATCTTCTCGACAACGCTAGAACGAAGGTAACTTACGCAACCGGCGCGGAATAACCCCTATTAAACAATCAATTCCAGATCAACGAATTGGAACAAGACAGAACGTTGAGCGACAAGTCCGAATTGGACGAATTGTTGGACAACGCGCGAAAGGAGAAGGACAGCTTGGAATCGGAGGTGGCCCATTTGAAGGAGCTCCTCGCCATCGGCAAGAACGAAATCGAGAAACTGAAAGAGCAGGTGTCCGTGTTGCAGGAGGAATGCAAAGTGACGCGGAACAACGCCAAGACCACGCAATCCGATCTCGAATACAAGTGCGAGAAGCTCGTCAAAGACAAAACGGTGCTCAACGAGCAATTGCAGAGCTTCCAGGAGGCCTTGAACGAACTACAGGTGCTTCATTTTATTTGGTATCAGTATAAACGACTGGTAGATTGTTCAAAATAGGGTAGAAGGGGTTCGTGGGATTAGGAGGAGGTAGAAATGTAGATAGGGGTAGAGGAGGTTTAGAATGGGGTATTAGGAGGGATCAGGTAGCATAGGAGGAGGTAGAGAGGAGTAGAATTGGGTAGAAGGAGGTACGTCAGATAGGAGGAGGTAAGAAGGGTAGGGTAGCGTAGAAGGAGGTAGGTAGGAGTGGAGGAGGTTAGAAGGAGTTATCGGGAGGGTATAAGGGGGAGCTGGAGGGTAGAAAGGGGTAGCAGAGGGTAGTAGTGGGGAATCGGGGATTAGGTAGGAGGGTAGATTTTTCAGCTGAGCCTAAATTCCCACCCATTTTATTTTAGTATATTTTGGGTACTTACGCTTCTATTGTAGGTCCAGAGTCAGTGTCAGTTAGAAGACAAAAGGCAATTATCCACTGTGTTGTCTGAGACGCAGAGGAATCTTCGGGAGGCCGAAAGGAAGAATGTGATGTTAGAAAACGAGCTGGAAGAAATAAAGAAAGTCCACGCTCAAGAAGTAAGTATAATTAAGTAATTATATCTAATTTCGAATAAACAACATTCCATCGTTAGGTTTTTATTGTTTGTTTGCCGAATTAGGCAACGACTCTCTTTATCTCGCGACCGAAATTTCCTGATAACAGATAAGATATCTGTACATCGCCGTAAATAAATTAATCACGAATTGTCCACATAATTGTTTAGTAGATTTCAGTTGTCAGACGTGCGAAAATATAAACTCGTTTTATTAATCCAATTAATCATCGATTTGCTCTTCATTTTTGTAGAACGAAGAGTGGGAGAAATTTCAGGACGATCTTCTCACCACCGTTCGAGTGGCGAACGATTTCAAGACTGAGACGCAACTGGAGCTGCAGCGCATCATACTGGAAAACAAAGCTTATCTGGATAGGGAGAAGCAATTGAAAGCCGAAATCGAGAAGTTGAAAGGTAAGAAGATTATTCGTCGGCTGCGATGCTGTGTTAAATACACGCGAAACAGTCGAGCTTATTTGTAATTGTACGCCTGTAAGTGTACAGTTTGTTCGAAATAATTCGTTTTGAATGAACTGTACGCTACTTATTTGTACCTAACGTTATATCCGATTTCTCCACGACTAAAACTAATAAATTACAGCGTTTTTTTCGATAAAATTATGTGTGTGTGTGTGGGACTTGGTGTTATGTTTGTGCTTATAAAAAACAACTACTGTGCCCTCATCTATCCAGTTAAATTGCTTTCTGTGTTTTGTGCGCCGGCAAGCGAAAAGTAATTGAAGGAAATTACTCTTCTGTATATTTGTATTTTGTTCTCGGAATTAGGTGGTTCTCTAAAAGCGGCCGATAAAGAAAACATGGATCTTTTGTTCAAAAGACCCAGCAAAAGCCGCAATAAACCCAAACCGGCGGCGGCGCTCGGCGGCAAATCGGACAGGTCGCAGAGCCTCCCCCAGCCCGTCCCCGTCAAAAGACGCGAAAACAAACCCTCCAAAGCGAAGCGACTCAAAACCCTATCGGTCGAAGAAGAAATGCTGCTGTCGTCTTTAAACAACTACCACAAAGACATCGACAACACGCTCCCCGACGAATTTCTGACCGAAGAACAAAAGGTCATCAGGAAGCTGAAAATCATCTACGAGGACGATTTCCACAAAGTCAAACCCGTCGCTCCCAAACCCAAAGACCAGCTGGCCATCAGCAAGCCGCTGTTAGACTCCGTCCTCACCAATCCCAAGCTGATGGCCATACTAAAAAACCCGCGAGTCAAAACCGTCGAAGACATGGCGAGTTTCGAGAAAGAAGCCCCGGAAATCAGACGATTGATACAAGACATCGACAGATCGAAGAAAGGCAAAAGCGTCGATTTGGCATCGCCGAGCAAACCGGAGCACAGAAAACGAATATCTCTAATCGGGAGATCGATGAGCTGCAATTACGTGGACGAAATCGACGAAAGAGAACAACACTTTAGGCTTTACAGATCTACTGAAACCGAAGATTTGACTAAAGCGATACCCGTTAACGTGAATAGGGAATCATCGAGTTTGGTGCCCAGCGATTCCGCTTCGAATTACAAGAGATACAGCGATTTCTCGCAGGTCGTGAACCAAGAACCCAACGTGTACAAAGAGAACGTGAATTATGCCACGTTGGAGCGCATAGCGAGGTCCATACCGGCCAACGCGCCCGATTGCGCTCTCACCAACGAACAGAAATTCGCTAGACAACTCCTCAAATCTCTGGACGAGAGAAAGGAAACCCTGCGGAAATGGGAGAAGGCCAAGATATTGCACATAAGCGCTCCCACGTTGGAATCGGTGTTGAAAAATCCCAAATTGAAGGAAATCATCTACGACTCGAGCATGCCGGAGGTTCGCAGGAAATCCGAGCCGCTGTCTCCTCCTGCCATTCACAAGAATCTGAAGCACAGCAAAAGCTACGACAACATTATGTTTAATTTCGATGATGAGGCTAACAAGACGCCGGTGGAACGAGAGTCTAGTACGGATTCTAAATCGAGGACGAGCTTAAAGAGTCAATTATTGAAAGACGAGCTAGCTCAATTGACTCGAACTGTAATTACAGAATATAATCAAAATGACGAGGCGACTGAAATTCCTGTAAAAACGAAACGCAAGAATACTAAACGCCTCGAATATACCAACGACGAAGTCGATTCTTTACTCTACAACGACACTCTAAACAAGAAAGAAAAAATTCCATTAGTCGCCGAAGAAGGCAAAGTCGATTTGCTACAAGAAAAGATCAGAAAAAAAACCAAAGCTAGCACCAAAAATCAAGAAATTGAACCATCTCCAGATGCAATTCCTACATCGACTGCACCAACATCAATCGACGAAACGATCAAAAACTTCAACGAAAAATTACAAACTATACACGATTTGATCAAAGAGGATCGATCGCAAGAAAAAACCGATGCGATCGTCATGCCGGATTTGCTATTGATCGCGAACGGAGGCCAATCCGACGAATACGACCAAGAAACTCTATTAAAACTGAACCGAATCGGCGTGACTTCTCCTCTGAGCTACACATTGGGATATAAAAGCGTAGTCGAGGAAATCAAAAAACGATTCTCCTGCCAGGATATTGAAGATCTTGCAGAAGATAATATTGAAATGCGCCGACGCAGCATCGATCTCGATAAGGAAATGGAGGATATAATAGAAAGCTATCTAAATACTAGAGTATCTCAGCTCATAAAGCAAAGCGAAGGGGATTCGAGGCCTAGCGAGATATCCGCTTGCGATGCTTTCGATAAGAAAGTATCCGATATTATTGACGGTGCATCGGGAAGTAACAATACATCCGATTCTACCGAAAAACACATCTCCCCAACAAAAATAACATTCACAGATAACTCCTTCTACGAACTAAAAGACGGTTGCGTGAAGAACATAAGAGCTGATGATAGTATCGTTGAAATAATCGAAGCATTTTTAGATGACCAAAGAAAGGTAGCTGAAAGATACATTAAACTCGAAAATAACGAAGTTAATATTAGCGAAAAAGATAAATTTACCATGGATAATCAAGAAGTTGCAACTTTTTCGAAACCGTTAACTATTGATGATTGGGAACTAATCCGAAATTGTGCCGAACAGAGATACTCGAGACCGCTGTCCGATCTAAATGAAGACGATTTGAAGTTTGTTCAAGATATATCCAAACAATATGAAAATGATACAAACGATACTAAAGTAGATACAGCCGATAATCAAGAGGATACAAACGATACTAAAAAAGATGCAATCGATAATAATGAAGATGCAAATGAGAGTCAAGAAGATACAAACGATAATGAAGAAGATACAAACGATAATAAAGAAGGTACAAACGATAGTAAAGTAGATGCAAATGATAATAAAGAAAATACTAATAATAATAAAGAAGGTACAAACGATAATAAAGAAGATACAAACGATACTAAAGTAGATAAAAATGATCATAAAGAAGATGCAAACCATAATAAAGAAAACAAAGGGTTGTATATCAGAGCAGAAATTGCCCAAGTAGTTGAAGAACAGGATGAGCCTGATTCAAATGTCGAATATCGCTGTAATATAGAAATCGACAAAAAACCTGAAGAAGAAACGAAGAAGAGATCGAGCGCCTTATCGAATATGAGCGAAAAAGAACTCGAATTAATCGAAAAAATAACCAATGAGTATATGATGGAAGTTCGTCAAGAATTAGAACTTTCAACACAAAATACCAAAGATATCTCAGTACAAAACACCGAAGATGTTTCTTCATCACCGAGAACTATTGGTGATGCTTCCACTGGTGTAGGTGATTCAGAATCGTTAATAAATACAACGAGCTCTTCAAGAAGTCGAGTGAGTTTAAGTGATATGATCGATAAAAGCAAAAATATTACAAATATAATCGATACCAGTGATACAAACGTAGATACAACAATACCTGCACGAGCATTGCACGTAATATTATACAGAAACAACAGGCCCAACAGTGGAGAGTTCGTGAGCAGCTTAACCGAAGAGAAAAGTGATAAAAATATGAACGATACCAACAAAGATTTCCGCGGAAAATCCTCCAGCCAACAGCGAGAAACTCGCGTGAAATCGTTCGCCCGGCACTTCGAGCTCCTCTCGCAGCAGAAGCAACCGCAGCGGGCGAGACGGCGCCCTGACGACGCGCCACCCACCGTCGCCAAACCGACGCCCTCGCCTCGCTCGAAAAATCAATCTACCGATCCAACCGTCAACGTTGACAGTCGCCCGAACGTCAGGAACTATGAAGTAGCGAGAAACATGTCCGAATATGAAGAAAATTTCAGTGTAAACGTCCACCGTAAATTGATCGAGCAGCCGGAGTCGACCGGCGCCAAGCGGAAGACCGAGGTGCCCGGCTTGCACGAATCTCACCGTCTCTTGCGCGACGAGAATGACTCGCCGTCGACGGACGACGACGACGACGACGACGACGCCGGCGGCGCGGAGGGCGCCATCAAGAAGAGCGAGAAATTCTTGGCCGGGCAAATGCCCATGCTGAGCGACGAATATTTGGAATCTACCGTAAGTATTTTATTGTAGGTTATTAGAGCCTGGAAAATATGCAAAATGGATAAGTGTGCAAAATTTAATTTTGCATTTTTCAATCAATTTGCCAATAAATAATTAAAATACGTTAAACTTAATAACGAATAATAAAATAAAAACGTTAACAATTACTTGTAAATTCGAGTAATTAAAAGAAACACCAATTGCTCATTCTGAGAACTTAAATATAGTGTTATGGACGGTTCTGTAGAGCATTCTAAATGGTTCTAGACAATTCTAAATGATTCTGGAGCGTTCTAAATGATTCTGGAACTTTCTAAATGGTTATAGGCAGTTCTAAAGGATTCTGGAGCTTTCTAAATGGTTTTGGGCAGTTCTAAATGATTCTGGAACTTTGTAAATTGTTCTAGACAGTTTTAAATGCTTCTGGCGCGTTCTAAATGGTTTTCTACAGATTTAAATACTGAAGCGTTCTTAATGGTTTTAGACAGTTTTAAATGCTTTCTTAATGTTTCCAGGCAGTTCTAAATGATTCTGGAGCGCTTTAAATGGTTCTAGACAGCTTTAAATGCTTCTGAGCGTTCTAAATGGTATTAGACAGTTCTTAACGATTCTGGATCGTTCTAAATGGCTTTAGACAATTATAAATGTTTCTAGCCAGTTCTAAATGATTCTGGATCGTTTTAAATGGTTTTAGACAATTATAAATAATTGTGGAGCGCTCTAAATGATTCTGGATCGTTTTAAATGGTTTTAGACAATTATAAATAATTGTGGAGCGCTCTAAATGGTTCTAGACAGTTTTAAATGCTTCTGGGCCGTTCTAAATGCTATTAGACAGTTCTAAATGATTCTGGATCGTTCTAAATGGTTTTAGACAATTATAAATGATTCTGGAGAGTTCTGAATGATTCTGAAGCTTTTTAAATGGTTTTAGACAGTTCTAAATTATTCTTGAGCTTTCTAAATAGTTTTAGGCAGCTGTAAATTATTCTGGTGCCTTTTAAATCGTTGTATACAGTTCTAAATGATACTAGAGTGTTCTAAACGATTCTGGTGGTTTAAATGGTTCAATACAGTTTTAAATGCTTCTGGGCGTTTTAAATATGGTTCTAAACAATCGCAAATGATTCTAGAAAGTTATAAATGATTCCATCCCGTTGATTTAATGTTCCAATAATTGATATAGTTTGATAGTCGGTACTGTATGTGTTGTAAAAAATGTATTTAATATCTTGTCGTTTTTGATTTTTTTATCAAGCGTAAACCAAACTCACGCATATTTTGCCATTATTTAGTGCATATTTTCCAAGCTCTAATTATGCTACTACTATAAGAGTATCGATTATTTTTTTCCTTTCAATTGTACAGGCGCAGGGATCGTTTTCGGTGATCCAAGTGGCTGGTACGGCGGAGAAACTGGACCTCAGGAAGCAATCGAATCTAACCGTAGAACCGTCGAATCTCAATTTGTTCAATTTGGACGAATCCGCCGAGGAGACCTACATAGACATCAAGAGATTGTCGGGCAATTCGTACATAAGAGTGGTGAACGCGGATTGTTGCGACAACGACAGCCTGGAATTGTCGGATTCGAAGCCGAAAATCGTGGATTTCGTGCCGCTGGACGAGGCCACTAAACCCTATTACAAGAACCACAACATGCCCGATTACGGTACGCTCGAACGGGAGAAGACGTACCAAATTTTAAACGCCGGACAGGCCGAAGAAGTGGAACTTACCGGAGATTATTCTTCGAGCAAGAAGACGTGCCGAGATTCGGAGAAGGTCGGCGTGAGCAAAGTGACGCTGAGTAAAAAGAAATCCAAAGATTTGTTTGATACACCCGATGATGTGACGAGTACTGAAAGTACCGTTGCGAGATTGGGCGTTCCGGAAGCCGAAGAGGATCCGCGAAAGGTTGACGAAATTTAATTTGGAAGTAAAACCTTTGGTGGCGCGTCGGGTTTATTAAACATTGATATTGATATTTTTATTGTGCAGTGTTTGTATGGAAATTTGTATAATATATGACGTAATTAAAAAAATGTTTTATTACACAATTATTTAGACAATTGCATTGAAAATTGGAAGTATCTACAACGCGCTTTTATAAAGGTAAATAAAGGGTGTTAATTAATTGAGTGCCGATACTTCAGGATGTGAATATTTGGTTCATTTTAAGAAGAAAAGTTATGTCCTAAATCTTAGTTTTTGAGCTACAGGGTGTTACAATTTAAGAAAAGAAACATTTTTTCTATCATAATTTTCTTATTACTCCAGATATGTATTTTTATGAAATTTTATACCCACTTTTTAATTATTAAAGAGTATTTTTTGAGGTACAAGATTTATTTTTATTTTTACCAGTGACGTTCGTACGGGGTTTGAACTGAATATGTTTGAAGAAAAAATGGTACACCACTAATTTTTCTAAAAACCAAAATTATTTTTAAAATCCTCATTTATTTTGGAGCAATTTTGGTCCAAAGACTTACTTTCAAACGACGAACCATTGCGTAAAAAATTAAAAACCAAAACCATTTTTTCCCAAGTTTTTTTCCCAAGAGACTGATTTTAATATTTTGTTGAAATTGGTTGGGCGCCCACCATACATGGAAATATTTTTTTGGGGATATAAATTAATTTTCCACCATTACCAGTGACGTCCACGTCCGAAATTTCATAAAAATATCTGGAGTAATAAGAAAATTATATGATAGAAAAGTTTTTTTGTACACCCTATAGGTCGAAAACTAAGTTGTTTAGGACATATATTAATATAAACTTTTCCTCTTATAATCATCCAAATATTCACTTCCTTCAGTATCGGCACACTCAATTAATTAACACCCTGTATAATGAATATTCGCGATTAACCAGGCGTACAATTACAATTTACTTGATATTCGAAACGAAGCGGGTTTAATAAAATTTCCTGTTGCAATTAGAAACGACCGATTCAGTTCCTCTGACCAGACCCACCAGTTTTCCCGGAGAAGAAGTCGCTCTGCGAAGGAAAAACATGGTCCTATCCAGGCAAAACAGCAGGCAATCCGTTAAATCCTTGATAGAAAGCATCGAAAGTCAAGGGAAACCCGTTCTACCCAAAAGTGGTGAGTTAAACAACCATTATATTCCTTCGCCAATTATGTAAATATAGTCGATGCGCGGGTTTTGGATTAGGAATTTACATGGAATTTCCAAGGCTCGTGCCACAAAATTGTATATGTTTTTTGGTTGATTATGAACTGCCCATAGTTAATTAATTATGAAAAAAAAAAATCAAAAATAATCCACCTACATCTACTCTACTGTGAAACTTCTCTATTGTTTACCTACTCTTTTCTACTCTGAATCTACTTTACTCTGAAACTTTTCTATTTTACTCTACTCTGAATTATTCTATTATTCCCAACTCTAAATGTATTCTACTCTACTCTGAATCTATTCTACTCAACTCTGAATCTCTTCTATTCTACTCAACTCTGAATCTATTCTATTCTACTTTACTCTAGTGTACTCCACTTTAAATCAATTCTAATTTACTCTACTCTGAACCTATTATATTCTACGGTACTCTAAATATGCTCTAATCTACTACTATACTTTGAATCTACTCTAATCTACACTACTCTGCATATGCTCTACTCTACTCTGAATCTATTTTATTCAACATTACTATGAATCTATTATATTCTTCACTATTTTAGTCTACTATGAATCTACTCTACCGTAAAAAATTATTTAACCTTCTAACCCGAAACCAGCGTTTGTTCAGCGAATGGACTAGACTAATTAAGCCTACTGCGATTCCACTCTATAATTCCGTCCTCGTTCCAGGTATAACTTCGGTTTCCCGAAGTAGCTCGACGTCTTCGATTAACTCGCCGGGTTACGAGTTGAGGGGATCCGTGACGTGTTCGACGTCGCCGGCGTCGCCTATGCGCTCGCCCGATTGGCCCGAGATGAACGCCAACGTGACGACGACGACGACGACGCAAGCCAAGACGCCGTTGAAGGAACAACAGCCGAACAAACTGAACAAGGATTGGACCAAGAACGTCATCAACGGTATTTATACACGTCTTAAGTTCTTATTTAGAAGTTTCGTATAATCAAACGGTTTTGTAACCAACCGATTATTTGTATGCAAGGGTAAGGTGAAAAGTTCTCGAGTCGATAATGAAAGAACGCAATTTTCAGATGAAAAATTAGATTATTCTGGGGCGTTCTAAATAGTTCTAAATAGTTCTAAATGATTCTGGAGCATTCTAGATTAATCTATACAGTTTCTTGATGAATCTATACAGTTCTAGATTATTCTGGAGCGTTCTAAATGATTTTAGACAGTTCTAAATGATTCTGGAGCATTCGAGATAAATCTATACAGTTTCTTAATGAATCTATACAGTTCTAGATTATTCTGGAGCATTCTAAATGATTCTGCAGCGTTCTAAATGATTCTGCAGCGTTCTAAATGACTATGGAACGTTCTAAATGGTTCTAGTCAGTTTTAAAAGATTCTGGAGGGTTCTAGATGATTCTAGACAGTTCTAAATGATTCTAAAGCGTTCTAACTGACGCGTATTTGAGCGTTCTACATTGATCTAGATAGTTCTAAATGGTTCTAAACAGTTCTAAATTATTCTGGAGCTTCCTAAATGGTTTTATAGTGTTCTAAATGATTCTGAAGCGTTCTAAATGCTTTTAGACACTTCTAAATGAGTCTGGAGCGTTCTAAATGGTTATAAACAGTCGCGAATAATTATTTAGCATTCTAAATGATTCTAGACAGTTTCTTAACGAATCTATACACTTCCAGATGATTCTGAAGCGTTCTAAATGATTCTAAACAGTTCTAAATGACTCGTTGGTACGTTCTATATTGATCTAGACAGTTCTAAATGATTCTAGACAATTTCTTAATGAATCTATACAGTTCTTGATTATTCTGTAGCGTTCTAAATGATTCTAAACAGTTTCAAATGACTCAGGATTCATTCTACATTCATCTAGACAGTTCTAAATAGTTCTAAATGATTCTGGAGCGTTCTAAACGGTTCTAGATAGTTCTAATTGATTCAGGCCGAGAACTTTTTACTTTATGCTTTATTATTTTATTTCACTTTTCACTTTATAAGTTGACCGCTTTTTTAAATTTGATATAACCAACCGGTTATATTGTGAGGTGGTTTGTAAAGGAACCGTTTTGCGTTTTAGATTCGATGACGAAGACTGATATAAAACAGAAAGGTGACGATAATTATAGAGAGGCTATACTGCAGAAGGGAATCGACTTTGCCAGGAGAAACAGCTACTCGGATTTGAGTGAGTATTTTTTTGAGATGTAATCGAGTACATGTAATTTATTGGCGTTTGTTAGGCGAAAGGAAGGATCCGTTGAACGGGTTGGTGAAAAACGGCGGTTCCAAGCGCAACGCCTTGTTGAAATGGTGCCAAAACAAAACCGTCGGATACAGGAACATCGATATCACGAATTTCAGCAGCTCGTGGAACGACGGATTGGCTTTGTGCGCCCTTTTGCACACCTACTTGCCGAACAGGATCCCCTACGACAGCTTGACGCCGCAGGAGAAGCGCAGGAATTTCTCGATGGCCTTTTCGGCCGCCGAAAGCGTCGGAATAACTACAACTTTGGTACGTTTTGTGGATCGATTTCATAATGGAGCATATAATTAAAGAGAAGCTTCAAGTTAAAGTGTCCTTTAAAGGCCAATTTCATGTTAAAGCTTTAATGTATTCTTTAACAGTCGCTTCTTTCCTTATAAACCGTTGGTCCTCTAATATTAAGAAATTCTTCATCAGACGAGTAGCCTGAACTCAAATTTTTTATACTTTTTATACTTTTTATTTTTTGATTTGCCGTACTTAAAGCGTTTGAACATAAATTGTTACATTGCTAAATGGTTTTGAGAAGTTCTAAATGATTTTGAAGGGTCTTAAAGGATTTTAAACAGTTCTAAATGATTATGAACAGTTCTAAATGATCGAGAACAGTTATCTATAAAATGATCTATAAAAGGATTCTTTAAAGTTTAGTCTCATTTATATCTCTTTAAGAAACCGTCCGCTAAAATAAATGTCTACATTAAGATTTGATTTGATTCGATTTTATTTTATTTATCTTTTTTTTTTGCAGGATATTAACGATATGGTTCAGTTGGAACGGCCCGATTGGCAGCAAGTAATGAGCTACGTAACGGCTATATACAAACATTTCGAAGCTTGAATCGACGTAAAAAAAATCGTAAATAATTTTTCTGTGATAACAGGCGTTTTCGCGTTCGATGACCGGCTGTAAACACGTTTGAAATTTCCGCGTTACATTTGCGAGGAATTTATGATTATGATTATGCGAGGACGAAATTTATTAACGACTACCTTTCGAATGTTACGGGCGAATCTGTTTGTTTTTGAGGGCGGTTTTTTTGTTTTTGTAATTTACGATAATCAAAAAAAATGTAGGGAATTGGGATCCTTTTTAACAGGAGTGATACATTTTGCCTTCGTTGGTTTGAATTTGAATTTGAATTCAAATACACTTCTTTGTCTAAATTAACGACCGGTTGTAAGAATGATGATCATAATTTGGTTTTAAATTCGAGAAAAAAACGATTTGTTCTTGCAACGGATGGTTTTTACCAAAGAATATTGTCGATTTCCTTAATGAATTGTAATAACGAAAAATTTTTGATAAAACAATTTTTATACGCGTATTGTATCCATTTGAGAAACGTATTTTGTATGAATATTTACTCATATTTTATATAATCTAGTCACGTAGCTTATGTATGTACATTGGTCATACAGGGTGGTTGGTTTTAAAGGAGCCGTATTGATTACTTACTTATTTAACACTGCTCGTACTAAAATATATGCATACAATCATTAGACCGGCTAGTTTATAATATGACAGTTAGAATTTTATAGCGCAAAAACGATCAAATAAATATGGTTGAACCGCCCTGTATGCTATATAAATTTAGATGTGTAACAAGACTGCTTAATTTAGGTAAAATATTCGTATATTTACGAGGAGTAAGTTGCCTGCCGCTGCGATTTTTTTAATCGATTCCGGTCAGTTTTTTTTTGAGAAATATATCAGTGTTTTTAAATATTTATAATTCTCGATACCTTATTTGTTGTTATTTTTCAAGTTATTGATAACGAGTTTGTTTGTGGAATAAAGAATTATTCGTTTAAAAAAAACCTTTGTTTTTATTGCCTATTACAGAACCTGAAAATTTGCTAAATGGATATTAAATTAATTTCAAACAGTAGAGTAGGTTCAGAGTAAAGTAAAATAGAGTGGATTCAGAATAGAGTAGAGTAGATTTGGAGTAAAATAGAATAGAGTGAATTCAGAATAGACTATAGTAGATTCAGAGTAGACTACAATAGAATACCTAAATGAGTATTAGGTACCTGAAAACTTGTAATAAAATGTATATAAAATTAATTTAGAATAAAGTAGATTCAGAGAAGAGTAGAGTTACAGTAGAGTGTAGTAGAATAGAGTAGCATCGGAGTAGCATAGGGCATATTCAGAGAAGAATAGAGTAGATTCAAAGCAAAGTATGAAGTATTTAGAGTAGAGTTCAGTAAAATAGAGTAGATTCAGAGCAGAGTAGGGCATATTCAGAGTATAGTAGATATTCAGAGTTGATTGCAGTAGTGTAGAGTAGAGTAGAACTTATTCAGAGTAAAATAGATTCAGAGAAGAGTAGAGTAGATTCAAAGAAAAGTAGGAAGTCTTTAGAGTAGAGTTCGGTGGAATAGAGTAGATTCAGAGTAGAGTAGAATAGATTCAGAGTGAAGTAGAATAGAATAGAATAGGTACCTAAATGACCTACCTGAAAACTTAATATCTATGGATATTAAATTAATTTTAAGTCTAGTAGGGCATATGCAGAGTAGAGTAGATTAAGGGTAAAGTAGAATAGAGTCGATTCCGAGTACAGTGCAATAGAGTTGAATAGAATAATCAAGATATTTGAAAAGTAACGCTTCTTTTGTAACTGTCGTTATTGCACCTCAATACAAAAATATGATTCCCACCTCTAATAAATATCTGTCACACGAAATGTCATTAATGACGATATTGACAGTTTTTGTTAATGTATCATCGCACGCATCTTAAAATCCTACTTAATCGCGTTCAATGCAAAATGGGATTAATGTAGCAAAATTTTTCGGCTACAGAATTTCGGTACCGGATTAAAATTCGTCCATTTAAACATCTCGCAACGCAAAAAAAACCGTTCAAGGCGCCCGAAAACCTTTGAAACCGGCGGATTTCCACACAAAGGCGCGATTCCCGGCCGCCACAAGGCGACGTTCACGCGCCGAAGAGCGCGCTGAAAACAACGGCAAGGTCCCGGCGCCCCGCTGCCCTCGCGCCAGCCGGCGTCCCTCATACGATAGGACGTCGGTCGGCGTCGCGCGTGTCGATGTCCCGCCGCGACGCCGATCGCCAACAAAGCGTTCGTTCGCCGAGTCACGGACGTTGTTTGCCAACGTTTCTTGCGCCAAATAGAACGGAAACGGCGATAAATAAAAATCCGTATTTTCGTTTCGAAGAAAATTATGAACGAGTGACAGCGAAAGAAATGGCGCGAACGTGAGGAAATGCATACACACATACATCAACCGTTCGGTTGTAGAAGTTGTTTTCTCCGCGCTCTCGCGATCCCACCGACGCCGTGACGTCACGTAGCGTGGCGACGCCGAATTCCCGACGTGCAACAGGCGACAGTTTGTTTGCGAATCGGGCATCAGGTGGTTGTGGAAAATCGCGCGGCGTCTAAGCAAGGCACGCGAAAAACTCGCGAAAATCTCGATTATTTTACTCGCCTTAAATTACCGGAACTCCGGCTTCTAAGATAGTTTGCTAAGGGTGAGTGCTTGTATCAAAAATTGTGGGCGTTTCATATCGAAAAATTAATTAATTTATGAAGAAAACTATTTCCGAAAAGTCGGTTGTGTAAATGTGTTGTTGTAGTAGCATTAATTAATTCGAAGCGTCCGTCGGAAATAATTTCGTCAACGACGGGATCCCGCTCAGCGTGAACCGTTTTAATTAAAGCACTTCAGGACCGGGAGTTTTCAAATTAATTAATGAAGTATTTAGGCCCATAACAAATTTAATAATGAACTGAAAACAATAACAAGCATTTTTAAGCAAGCCTTATTTTTTTTATTTTACATCTTACTCCTTTTCGACTATACTTATTCGTGTATATGGTAATCAATTCGTTTTTTTTATTGAAATGTCGATTACAATAAACATTATCGTAGATAAGTACGATGGTATTGCATTTAAAATAATTGCTCGCTCGTTATCAATCCACAATGAACTTGTACTTACACATATAGGAAGTAACGATTTTAAATAGCGGTTCAGGAAGTGTTTTTTCGGAGGTTATTCGGATGTACTTGCTCGACATTATTGATCACGCACACGCGAGTGTTTCGATAGTGTGTGGGCAAATTTCGTTATAAATCAGTCGAACGTTTTTTCCAGCGAATTTCCGATGCAATTAACGGCCTAAGTTTCGCGAAACCAATTCCAGGATCGGAAACGGCGAGCCCTTTTCTTCTGTGCGATGGTCGATTTCGGCACGGGAGAGAGAATCAACAGGTTCGTCTGTCCCAACGACAGGCAATTAGCTCTAAGAGCCAAGTAAGTAAGACTCCGTAGAAGTGTTTATCGACGATTTACTTTCGTTTACGAGACGCAAATCGAGCGAAATAATATTTCGTTAGCGACCCGTTTCGTATCAAAATCTACCAAACTTTGAAGCGATTGCTCCCCATAAATTCTACAACAAATTTTCGCACAATAGAGATTTGTGTAATTTTCCATGTTCGATCATTCCGAAAACTCATAATTACAATGTATTTTTTTGGTATTGATTTTTAGATAAAAGGCTTTTATTGGATTTCGTTCGTTACAACAATAAAGCGATGTAAATCCAGATTAGATTAGGTCAAGCGATAACAACTTCAGCCAACTTTTCGATTCTCCTTTGTATACATTTTTTAAAAACGACACCACCCCAAAGGGGACTTGAACTACATTTACGTTTGATTGTCTTAGAATTTAACAAAACGCCAGACTGACGACGAGACCTATTGATTCAGTCGCTCGTTAATTTACCCCTACTATAAATAACTATTTATATACGTACGCTTCTCTATAAATTTCGAAATTAATTTCGGCACAACGGGGCAAACGATAGAGGCACAGCGCATAAAAATTTTTTCAACGACCCCTAATGATATCTAAAATAATAGCGTCTCGTTATGCCTGTGAAATTGGTCCGTTGAACATTCCGCTATATTTAGAGATTACGCCTTTTTTTCAGGCTGAATACAGGATGGAGCGTGAAAACAGCCACTCTCGGCTACAGCCAAAGAACACCTCACACTTCCCCTTTGGCTGCCGAAGAGCAAGAGGCCATCGTCCAAGTCATCCAGCGCGCGGAAAAGCTGGATCTTTCCGAACAACAAAGGGTAACCGATTCAAATTACACAATCTTTTTCATCGAAAGTCTTGTCAGTCCTCCCGTTCGTCTAGACGGAGGAGACGCCAAGTTCATTAATTTTTTACCAGCAATTTACACCCGCGCTCCCGCTTCGTAAATGTAACGCTTTGTCCTTGGCGCAGATCGGAAAACTGGTGGAAAAATTGGAGAATATGAGACGAAACGCCCTGGGCAAAACGTCCTCGCAATGTCTGTTATGCGGCGATAATTTCGGCTTGCTCGGCGCCCAAAAAATCGTCTGCATGGATTGCAGGAGGCTCGCTTGCACCAAGTGCTCCATAGATACGCTAGCCGGCAGAGGTCCTAGGTGAGTTTAAACTCCTGAATTAATTGGACATACTCTAATCACTTATTAGCTATTTCTACTGCTCTTTCTTTCGCTCTTTTTAAATTATAAAATCGGTGTTGGAACTTTGGGAGTACCTATCATCTTCTTCGCTACAAGCAGGTGCACTTGGATGGTTTTAAATAGCCGGTGGTGGAATAAAAACGAATCAAAAAATTATTTTAATCCGAAAAACTCTTTCTTTAGACACATTTATCAATCGTCGCCGAAGAGGTCCCGATTGCTCGCGAACGTTAAGCATTTAACCAAACGAGGTAAACTTAGAGTGAGAAAAGCGTTTGTTTATAGTACCGCCTCTAGGGAGCACTGGTTGTGCATGATATGCGCCGAGACCAGGGAAATGTGGAAGAAATCCGGCGCCTGGTTCTACAAGAGCATTCCGAAGTACGTCCTGCCGGCGGACAATTCGAGGATCAGCAGGACTAAAAGCGTGAGAACGTCCAGGCGGTACAAGGACGACGATAGCAGCTCGGACGAGGAGAGACGAATGTGGGGTAGGAGAAAAAGGGCTAATTCCAGTACAGAAAGTGCATTAGGTGAGTATTTACTAACCTCGCCTAATTCAAGGATAATTGAGTAAAAAATTTAATTGGTTTTCCACTTATGTATAATTAAAATAACAACAGTTAATAGCGAACGTATAATTAAAGATACTTAGAAAAGTTTTTTTCTATTATAATACAATGGACATATATTTAAAAAATTAATAATTTAAATTGTCCCATATCGATTCGAAACTAGTTAACTAATAATAACGGCGATTCGAAATGTTCGTTTTCTCACATTTATTAATAAAGGAATACGTATGACAAAATTATTCTCTACTGAAGGTAGCTTTCAGTACGACGAAGATATTACAAGTTACATGAAGTAGTTCGATTAAATATAAACTGAAATTTTATAAAAATTTTCAAAAAATCTAACTAATCCGTTTGTTTAGATGCTCTAGATCAAGAACAGCACAATTATCACGTCCGCAACTCCATTTACAGGTAATATTTTCACGAACTTATCCGCATTTAATCTGTTTCCGTTCTTCTTTGGATATGACACGAACGGCAAACAAACTATTTACCGCCTCTATCCTTCCGTCTCGCTTTGATCGATCGCGTCGGATTTTTAAGAAATTTATTTCTCCTAATCTCTTCCAGCCGACAGAATAGCTCCGGGGAATCTCAAGTCTCCAGAGAAATGGATTCCTTAAAGACACAAATGAGTTCGATGACCCTGAACGAGACAAAGAGCTGCGAGGAATCTGGAAACGAAAGCCGGCAGGATATCGGTAAAACTTTTCCCGTGTTGTCAACCTTCTCCTCCGAGTAATTCACTCGAATCAAATCGCTCGTACATTCCGTACGGGATTATTCATTAGACCCGTTTGATTGCATTGCAGAATTTTCTCCTGACGCCACGAGAAGGGAATCTTCGGCCGGGCGATCGCTCTCCGATTGGAACTGGTCGATGGAGAACAAACTGGACGAAAGAACGTCGCCCAGCACTTCTAGCATCAACAGCAGCGTGTTCAAGGTAACATCGAATCGTTGGTGTACCGGCGTAAAGTTGTTTGTTCTTGCAGTCGATCAATGAAGAAAAATCAATCGACGCATCTTTGGGCGTGATTGAGCTGTCGCTGACCTACGATCAGGAAACGCTCACGCTACATTGTACCGTGTACAGAGCGAAGAATCTGATACCAATGGATATGGCCGGTTTGTCCGATCCCTTCTGCAAATTGAACATCTTACCCAACGCCAAAATGTCCACTAGACTAAGAACCAAAACGGTAATGAAAGTAAAAACGTAAACGATAAATTAGTTTACTTTATTAGTCGATTACAGGTACACAAAACAAGAAATCCGGAGTTCAACGAGAACCTCACTTTCTACGACATCAGCGAGAGCGACCTGATGCGCAAATCCCTCCACATTCTCGTCGTTGATGATGATAAATACGGCCACGACTACATGGGCGAAACCAGAATAAAACTGGCGAAGCTCAAGTATCAGAACACGATTTATGTGAGTAGCAAAATCTCTTATCAATTCCGGCTTTGCGATGCATGAAAAGTTCCAGCACAAATCTTAATATTCGAGTAAAAATAACGAACTTGCATAACGTAACCAAAATTTATTGAGCATCTTCTCTAATGTGAATTATACGCATTTGTCGTTGCAATCGCACGGTAAAATTAGCTTGCTTGGTTTAGGCGGTTTGCAAATATCACAAGGAGCATCGGGGTCGCAAGATTTGCAAGGTATTATCGGACCGCATACTTTGCAAGTAATAGATGGATCACACGGATCGCACTGATTTGATTTCATAGATCCTGTGGAATTGCACGAACGGCACGGTCTGCAAGGACTTTGGCATTTGCATTCGACGGACGATTCTGAAATATCCGCGGATCAAATGTTTGCTTTCTAATATATCAATCATAATACGAGAAAGGCGAAAGATCTGGTCAGGTTATAGAGAATACAGGGTTTTTGACGGTAGACGTTCATTAGAACTTTTAGGAGTTATGTAGTAATGTTTAGTCAATGTTGTAAGTTTTTCTAAAATATTTTTAACCATGTGTGAAACTAGATGGCAACTTCGTTATTTCAAATAGAAAGTGCAATTTTTTTATTCTTCGGCCACTTTTAACTAAATTTTGGTAACAATACCATATGCCAAAAATGCACCATTTTTAAGTTATTAATTTTTTTTTATTTTTTTGATATCGATAATGTCCAGACACAGTACTAAATGAAACTAAGCTGGCTTATTATGATCCATTTACAGGCATTTAAAATTCTGTAATGGCAAGTTCTAATGAAAGACTACCGTGAAAAATCCTCTTTAGTTAGAAGTATTTCATGTAGAAAGTTTAATAGGTTTTAATTGCTTACTCGGTTTTTTTGAATCGCACAATGAAGTTTGGCAACCGCAATGTAACACAATCGTACCTGAAAAAAAAAATACGAGTTAAATCCCAATTTCGCGAATACTCGAACTCGAAAGTTACCTGATGCTTTACTCGAACCTGAAATCAAATATTTAATTTACTATTAAATCAAATGAGATTTTATGGACAAACTTACAATGCTTTCTTATATTAAACTTCAAACCTTGGTTGCATTTGTTGGCCGAACAGAAAAAGTTCAGGTAATTCATATGTACGAATTGCTTATTGTGCGGTATAGCAACGTAAGGAAAACCGTGTTGGATTTCTCTCAGATTGTTTAATATGTCGCCAAAAATGGTAGCCACCTTGTGGATGCCATCCGGAACGTCCATGATTTTCGCCAAGTAATTCATCGTGATCGTTTCCCGTTTCAAATCGCATCGATTAAACACCACTTTCTGAGGACACTGGCATTTCTTTCCTACGACCCACAAATAACATCTTCATTACACTACCAATCGAGGGATGTTTTTCATATACCGTTGACCAGAAAGTACGCCAGCACTAAATTCTTCTTCTCCGTTTCGCACAGCAGCGGCAGGATGCAGGGATCCAGTTTACCGCAGTAGTACTGTTTGATATACGCGTCCCTTCGCAGGATGTTCTGGTAGGAGTTTACTCCGTAACCGCCGGGAGCGTTTTTGAATTTGGAGTTCTGTCCTAAAGCCACGTACGATGTCTCGGAAACTAAATCGTCGAAGCATTGAATCTCTGTCAAAGAACCTGCAATGATGATTCTGATGAAATTTGCGAGACTACAGCTGAAGATAAGAGGCAAATGATATACACATACATAATGATAATAATTTAGCAATGTGTCCGTAATCGGGATTTATGATTTTGGTCATGTAATCCAGAATGGCGGTCCATCCTTTGAATTCCCTGGGATTTAGGATGAAGAAGTAGCAATGCGATTCTCCGTTGTTGTACACTCTGATTTTCTTGGGTCTTTTAGCGTCCGCGACACTGCCGATGCCTTTCGAGGATTTTGCCGAACCACAGGTTATTCTGGATGGCATTCGTTAACTCCAGTTTTGTATCACGAAAATTTTGGAAACTTGACATTTTTTTTGACAAATTCTTCTTTTCGGACCTCATTTAAGTCGCTATTCTTTTTTCTATATGTAGAAGAACTTACAATTGGCAAATTTTCCTGCTCAGTTTTTCTGTTGAACTACATGTGACTTCGTTAAAAAGTTAACTGGAGTTTGTAATATGTATGTAATTCGTATTTTTATTGTGACTTGAATACTACATGTTATACAAGCATTACAACTTTTTGCGATAACTGGTAATTAAACTAAAACATTGTAGATAACAATTTCTTGCTATTAATTGATACGATTCGCGTTGAGAGTGGCGCCTAGACGATTGATTAAACATCAAACGAGTAAAATATATATTTTAGCTTAATCGACATTGTGAATTTTAATGAAATCCGTTTTGAACGGGTGTCTATCTACACGCGACGACGTTCTTTTGCTCCGGTTGGCTTGGTATATTTCGAATATTTTCAAATAATTAATATGCTCAAAATAACGATTGTTGGGAACGACCACATAGAGATATCCCGGTTGAAATTCGCTCGCGTTTCTCACACAAGCCCCGTGTATCGTGCAAATATTCCCGATGTGCTCGGGCACGCTCATAATCCTCGTTATGTAGTTAATTATGATCCTCCAGTTGTTTATATCGAACTTGTTGAAAACGACCTTCTGCGGGGGCTGGTCGTTGACACCGTTCAGCGTCACGCAAATTACTATGATGTTCTTCTTCTGTAAATCGTTGAGGAATCTCCTCTCGCCGAAATGCAGCGGCTCCACGTACAGCTGCTTGACGAACTTCCTGCGCGACAACTCCATCTCCACGTTGGTCTTGTACTGGTTGGGGTTGTGGAGGCGCGTCTGCGACGTGCCGCCCAGCGCTATGTACTTATCGTTGTCGGATAGCTCCTCGAAATTCCATATCTCCCGGCGCGTTTTCAACGAGATCAGCTTGCGAATGGCGCCGAAGTTCGGCTGCAGCACGTCGGTCAGATGCAACAGGATGGAATTCCACGTTCTGAACTCCTTCTGGTTGAGCGTCATTTGGTAGCAGTCCGGTTTGCCGTTGATCCATACTTTGATCCGTTTCGCTCTGGCCGATGCGTTCAAATTTAGATGGCTGTTTGCACATAACATTTTAAGATGCTTTACTGATTAATTTGGCGGAAAACTTTGATTTTTATTAAGTAGGAAAAAATCGATAAATGTCTAATCAGTTCGATTTTTGACAGCTTACATTAAAATCTTTGTCAATTTAAGTAATGGGGTTCTTAAGACATACTTCTTCAACCAATAATAATAAATTTGTAAATTATATGACTTCCAATGAGACCAAATCTTCTCGTATGGCTGATGTTATCAGTTTGTTCCTAATTGATCATATTCTGAATGGCATTATAAAATGTTAAATAATGTAAATTTATTTTGGTTACTTAACTAATCAATGTTAATAAAAAAATTAAAATTTTATTAGTTTACAAATTTGCGAATTTTATTACAAGGAAACATGAACCGCAAACGTTTAAAACACTTTCGGGAAAACTTTTCAACAAGGCATAGCATATGGAAATAAACTTTTCAAAAACATATGTAGTCGTCACTAGCTCACAACTGTAGTTAAATTACACCAATACTTTTGAATATACGTTTTTACAACCCAATTTCGCTGTTGGTTGTACATATTACATCATCCTTATCTTTACTTCTTTCCTACAAAACAATCGTAATTTAGCTCTAGTCAATGAAATTGGAAAAAATCAACTCACATCGAAGAGTTTTCCCGATTTCTCATCCGCCCGTTTATTTCGTTCGATACTTATTAACGCCTTTTGGTAGGACTTGAGCGCTTGCGATAACCTCAGTATGCTTTGGTCGAGCGAAAACTTGGGTTTGTTCGAACAGTCATCTTCCTGCGATTTAACATCCAAACAGCCATTATGACGAATATTGGATTTTTTGCTGCAAATTTACCAATTATTCCATCAACCACAAAGAGATCAAAAGCTTTCAATTTTTCATTGATTATTTGACCTCTTTTCTGATTGATAGTGGCGAAGCCAAGTAAAGACTAGCCAACAATAATAAACTAAAAACTCACTTTCTTCTGGAATCATGGATATCAGATTTTAATATAAACTTGGACTTCTTCGAAGGGTTCGAGATCACCAAGGTGCTATCAGCGTTCATTATCTGCTGTGATAAGGTCATAGAAGGTTCCGTAAGGCTTCGAACGTACCTCGGTCGATTAAAAGCTAAATAATAATTCAAAAATATACATAGCTACTTAAATAAACTTTAAAATGCTTACGCTTGATGTTAGTTTCCTGCGGTTTCCTGCCGAATTGTGTTGACGCGCTGGAATATACGACATTGGTTCTCAATGTTTGACAACCTTCGTCGACGACTTTCTTGATGTACACGCTGCAGTCAGATTGAGATCGAATTAAATTGTCATTTTCATCGTAAATGTTGTCATAGATTTCTCTGTGGGAACCTTCGTCGATTCCCATAATTTCGGTAATCAGATCGTTGGGATCGCGTTGACTGGCCGATTTCGAGTTTATCTCGTAAATTAAATGCTCCGATAGGGCGTTTTTGGTGTTGGCGGTGTTGTTGGGAAATATGATGTCTTTTAAATGTTTTTTCTTCAGTTCGTTGATATTGGGAATGGCTGCGGAGAAAACTGGCGGTTCCGGATAGGAGATCAACTGGTTGTCGATAGTCGCTTTGCAGGTATCTTCTTCGCCTTCGTTACAGCAGACTTTGTATACCAATAATTCGTTACCTTGCTCATGGGATTCGTTCTTCGAATCTCCTTTTTTGGGTTCACCTTGTTCGTTGGATGGTTTTTTCTCTTCGTGGTCTTCGGTTGCGCTAGTTTCCTTGTTTGTTGTCGTATCTTTTGTTTCTTTATTTTCCGCTACTATTGTAGCAGTACTCTAAAAATTGTAGGTTTATACAAAAAGAGTTATAAGTCGAAGGTAAAAGGTGCCTACCTCGTCAGATGAAGGTTCATCTTTTGTACTTTTAGGTGAAACATTTTTCAATTTTTTGTTATTAACATTATTACATATTTTATTTGGACATTTGTAAGAGGGTTTATGAGCTTCCTCACTGGGACTGTAATAGGTAACTCTCAATTCCAGTTCGCTCTTCATCGTGGAATCCAATGAATCGATTCCCGTCATTTCGTTTTTCTGAAAAATATGTTTTTATAGATTTTTCAAATCGTTTACTTAACCAATTTATTTTTTAAAGTAGCTACTTTTATACTTCAATTACCATTAAGTTCGTTTCAACATTTGTTATATCTTGGTTAGCAGTGTTTATGTTTGCGCATTTTTTGGTTTCGCTTTTCGTCTTTTTCTCGGGCTTTTTCTTTTTTTCAGTTTTTTTCTTCTTTTCGACTTTCTTGGCGTCGATTGATTTTTTGTTGTATGGAGAGCTGTATGGACGCCCTATTGCTGAAATGATCTGAAACAAATAAAGACTTTATAAAGGAACGAAATTCAATTGTAAAAATGTGTCGATCTGATATATTTTTCTATAGTAAATTTTATTTGTTAGAAAAGTATTGAAAGCAAATATCTAGCTTCTAAATCGAGCGATATAATACAAGTTCAGTAAGTTTAGAATAAATAATTCTTTTGAACTGAATTTTGAATTTTTCTTTAATATGACCCGTCGTTCTTATTTGGAGTTAGATTAAAATGAACGTTCGAATAACTACCTATTATTTATATTGGGGAAATAAATAATTTTCCACCTCATTATCATCAATTGGACGAATTTCTTCGTCTGATCTATTATGGGTGTCATTTCGAAGGCTCTTTTTTAGCGTTTTTCGGCGGCAATTTCGAGTCTTTAGCTGAACTTTGACCTGAAATTGACCCAAAATTAAGATTCCTTTTTAGCTTTCGTGTTGAATTTATTTACATCACTAATGATCGGGATGGTTTTACTCTATACAAGTAAGGTTCCACTAAACTATTTTACTAATTAAACTTTTAATATTTGGATTTTTCTGTTCCACTAGCCTAATTTTTAATTACTAGTTGACCTTAGAAACGACCTTTTCCCTATTAATTTATAAAAATAACTCACCTTTGACTTTCGATTTTTTCGGTATTTGTAACATTTTTTAAACAATCCTACGTAATCCATTTCAACAAATGCTTCATTAAATGGCACCGCCACGTATAAATAGCCGTGCTGGAAATCCTTCGGGTCCTGTATGATTCTTCCGTACACAGTGCAAAAATACGCGATTTCCTCCGACATTCCCAATATTTTACCGAAATAATTTCCTGCAATCAAATTCTCGTGTACTTAATTATCGTTAATAATTAAACGATAATGTTACTTATTAACGTGAAATCCTCTATTTCGTTTTCTTTAAACACGGCCTTCTGTGGAGATGCAGTAGAGCCATTTAACGCCACGTAAATTACCGTGTTCTTTAATTTCTCAGTTTGCTTGAGAAACTCCCAATTGTGGGTTACCCTGCCGCTTTCCGGATAAATGGGCGATCTTCTATTGGCTTCTTTTTCATCTTTCAACATTTCTAAAAAATCCAAATCAACACATTTTTTTATTTGTGTACCTAATGAATTTTAGAATATATTCAAATTGTACCTGCGTGAGTTTTGTACCCTTTGATGGGCTCTCTGATTTTCTCGTTGGCGCCTGTCGCGATGTATTTTTGCTTAGAATCCAGCTCCTCGAAGGATTTGACCTCCTTGAGCGTGGATAATTCGATTAGGTGTTTTACAGCGCCGAAACTGGGACGAATTACGTTCGTAATGTGATTTAATATGAGGCCCCAGTTTCTGTAACGGTTTAGGTGAATTATGCGTTGTTGTGATTATTAGAAATTACCTCAAATCTTTGGGATTTATATTGAATACGTAGCACTTCGATTCGCCGTTTTCCCAAATTTTTATTTTTTTCGTTTTGCCGAAATACGGCTCCGGTAAGGGAACTTGGCGGATGCGTTTGTATTTCATTTCGGAGATAATTGATTTTCTTACTGGAAATTTTTAAATTTAATGGAATTAATATGAAGTTTAGTTTATTTGACACATGTTGATTTTGGCTTGGAAGAGTCTTCCACTATAGCGTCTAATGTATACTTTAGTTCTCTTATGAATCTCATGTCATAAAATTGGACACTTGACAACTTTTATAATCACGTCAAAATAACTAACAATCCACATCAAAATTGCAAGTTGCACGAACTATCGATGTTTGCTCAAACACCGAACAACTCCATCGATTACCTCGACGACAAGCGGCCTCATTTGAAGCCCAAATGGGTGAAAATCTGGCTGAACAGCGAGTCCGACTGTTTCCTGCTCTTCTTCGACCCCAGGGTGTTGAAGACCTGGAACGCGACGCTCGACTACATCACCAAAGAGACCAACCCGCGATTCGGGGCAATCAGAAAAATCGTCTCCTTAAAAACGATGACGATGGTGACGAATTTGTCAGAACTCGACACCGAGGGTAGATACGTCGCGCTCGGCTACAACCAAAAATTGAAAATAGGTAAGAGATGACAGGATTTTGGAATTCTCGCGCTAATTTCTCGATTCAGATAAAGATCTGTATTTGACGGCGGCGGAGAGGGAACAGCTGAATCAGAAGCAGCCCAAGCGGCTCTACGACGGTAAATTCGACGAGAAAATACTGCCGTTTTTGAAAGTCACCAAGAAGCACAACCTGACCCTCGTGTACATGGTGATCAACGGGCTTCTCGACGGGCCTTTCAAAGTGGTGTTTAAAGCGGCCGATTTGCAAAATTGGAACCTGGTGAAGAGCTACGCCGCCAAGGTGTTGGGCGTGATAGGGGGCGTGCAGAACATTTGCACCGTGTACGGGGAACCGTTGCACGACGCTAAAGAGCTGCAACACGGCTGCTTGTACGTCGCCGTACCGTTCTTCGAGAAATTCAAAGGTGTGTCATCATTCAGGGGAAACACATCTACAATCTGAACCTTTTTTAAGCCATGGATTATATGTACTTGTTTGATGGCAAAAACAAGACCAAATTGGCGCCCTCATCTACCATGGATATAAAAACGAGGAAAACGAAGAGCAGTAAATCGCCTCTTTCGATGTCGCTCGATCGAAAATCGAAAATTGCCTCGGATGAAATCGATTCGGACGCAGATTTTTACAAAGACGGAGGTATTTTTTTTCTATTATTTATCAATCGATTACGGTATCTTTTCGCCTATTTTTTTAAGAAATCCAAGCTTCTAATAAACTGTTAGCCGAATCGATGGAAAAAACGGAATTATCGTCGAAAACCTCGTCCACGCTCGTCAACGAAGAAATGTCCTCGCTCATAGGAGAAACAAAAAGTATAGTCTCGTATTGGTAAATTCTTTATTTCCGCTAATACCAACAATTTTACCCGAACGCCCGTTCTCGCCATTCGGTCTAACCTTCGATCTTCCGCAGCAATGAGTTACTCAAGCCCATCTGGCCGTCTGGTCGAGTGAAGCCGATGTCCCTGGCCAGCGAAAAATCCCTGCCCAGCGGTTGCGTGCGCATCAAGGAAAAAATCCGCAGAGACAAGGAGGACGGTCATCTGACCGGCCGCATTCACAAATTAAAACGTATCATTAAGAAGTACGAAAGAAAATTGAAAAAGCTGAAATCGAAACCGCCGCTGACGCAGGAGAAAGTAAAGGCGCTGAAGGAAAAGTCGATCATCCTGATCGACGGCGAGGACGACATTTTCGAGCAGCACCGCTACAGGACCTATCACCCGAATAAATTGACTTGTTAAATAATATTTTATTTATTAATTTTTTTTAAACCGCTACACAAGATTGATTATGATTTTTTGAAAGTACACAAAATGTAATAAACGCATTATTGACTAGTAATTTATCGTTTTTTTTAATTCGTTTGTATACTAGAGATCTAAAGGAAAGAGGTTGTGATGTTGTTATTTTTCCAGTTAACAGTGCCTCTGGAAAACTTTGGTCAAGAGCAGAAGGGCCCCGTGCCGACAACGGAATTAACCGAATGGTTCGATGATTTGTGGTCGAGGGGACAAATTCTGCTGGGATTGTGCTACAATACGAAAAAGCGAGCTCTCGTGGTATCTGTGGTGAGATGCGTCAATTTACTGCCGATGGATAACAACGGTTTGTCCGATCCCTTCGTTAAATTGTAAGTACTGCACCCATTACGTTAATGAAAATTTTATCATTGCTGATGACATTGTTCGAAAAAGGCAATTAAAGCCGGACCCTAATCACAAGAAGCACAAAACGTCGATAAAATGGAAAAATCTGAATCCCATTTTCAACGAGGAATTCGCTTTTGAGACCAGGCCGACGGAATTGAGCACTCAAAGCCTCTACATCACGGTGTACGACAAGGATTACGGCAAAAGTAATGATTACTTGGGAGGGTTGATTTTGGGAGGAACGGGCTCCAAAGGTAATCGACGATTTAATTAAATTTAATAACTTCTTAACGTTTTAATTCGATATTATTTAGGTCTTCGGCTGAAGCACTGGTTGGATATGATAAGATATCCTGACCACAGACACGAACAGTGGCATAATCTCACTGAAGACGTTCTGGATTGAAGTATAAATCGAAACGCCTAAATTTAGAATAATTATATTTTATTATATGAATGTCGTGATTCGTAATCTTGTGTAAGTGTTTTGTATTGTAATTCTCTCTCCAAAGCGATGAGAATTCGAGTATAACCTAACTATTTGTATTATTTTTCTCTAAATTTTAATGTTAACATTTCTTCGTTTTCAAATCAAATATAACATATATTTTTGCGATAACATTTTACGATCGATAACACAAAATGCATTTGATTAATGGGAATATATTTACTGTTGAAATTAAGCCGAAATAAATATTTGTTATTCATACGGCCTTTTATTTTTGAATACGAAAACTAAATTCAATATTTTTGTTTCAATTTATTCAATAAACACATAATAGAATATAATAACTTAACAAAAAAAATATTGCACGAGTAGGTAAAGTTTTGCTAGACTCATTTTAACTCAGTTAAAAATTCCTTTTTACACAATTTATACAACAATTAAATAAGCTAACATTATTGAATACAATGAGATATATTTAAAAAAATATTAATAAATGTGACATGAGTTCCCTTTCATTCTTTGTTAAAATGAGTCCACCAGCACTACAAGAGAATTTTATTGCACTTCTATTACAAATATCACTAAATTACAAACCCAGCAACTTACATGTAGCTGTAGAATCGGCAACAGAACTGAAACAAGCGCGCATGAACGTTCATTCTGAGAAAAAAATGGGCGATCATGCTAATTTTTAAAATCGTTTCGGTCCTTCGCATTTCAAAAAGATGCCCAAACCAAAAACCAGCGAGTCTTTGAACCACACCTACTAATTTTATGAATCCGTAGTCTTTCCAAAAATTGGTCCAACTTGCTATTAGAAATAGATAAATATTTACTGGAAGCATTCAAATTGTTCACTGTTATACTTGGAAAGATTTTCTACTAACAGGTATTAACTAAAATATTTAGGAAAAGTAACAACTGTTCAATTATAAACTGATACTAACATGCATGTTTATCGAACAATGCTATATGGCAAGCTTCTTATTAACTAATAAATGCGAAAATAACAAGAAAAAAGCGTAAATTACGGTAAGTATCCTAAAGAATTTTCGATATTACTGCTAACGTTACGCATATCTTGGCTAAATTTGTAAAATTCCCTAGTCTCTATTTTCCTGCCCTCGCAGGAACTGGATCTCCGCGATTCGTCCGATTGGCTCTGGATGGTATACAAGCCATTTTTGGCGCTGTACATGTTGGGTTTTCCGCTTTTATTCGACGAGCTTCTGACCGATTGCGCCACGTTTCTAGCGCTCTCGATGGGCAACTTCAACGAGTACAACGCGCTTTTGTTCTTCTGCAAGTGCGTGTAGTGATTCTGCGCGGTTTTCTGGTTCTTGCCGAATTTCCCGGTGTAAGAGTAGCTTTTGCCGTAGGTGTTTTTGGAGTCGAACGCGATGGGATTCATATGGGCTATGTCGGTGGTTTGGGTGAGCTTGATGTCGCTGAACAAAGCCGCTATTTCCGCTGATTTTTTCACTGCCAGTGCCTCCGAACACCCTCCCGATGAGATCGCTGTCGCTTTTCCCACTATATTTGAACACATTGGAGTAAATAAGAGGAATAAAATATATTTTGTTGCGTATTTACGCAAGAACCTTGCGTCGATAGTCATTGGCTTTGCGAAGCTTTTATACGAACTTCGGAAAGCCATTTGTGTGTGTGTAAATGGGATTATCACTCGAGAAAGACCTCGAGTTTACAAGGGGCGCATAGCCAGAGAAAAATCCTATCTAGGTGGACGAAATTTTGTTTATATAAATAGACAATTGGTTTTACCTGATCGGTATCCTTTAGTGGACTGATAATTTTTCACCGTTACAGGCCTGCAAGGCCCCATGCCGGATCCGTACAGCATCCTGCTGTTCAAGCTCTGCAAACCCCCATTGAGCATGGAAAACTTATCGCAATCGCTCAATAGAGGCATCGAGCTCTGCGTGCCGAACTTGCCCTTGTTCTTGAGCTTCTCGTAATAGGCTTCGGTCGGGTTGTAAACGTACTCCAAGCTCTTGGTGCTCTTCGTGTTCGAGTTCTTCTTGCAGAGTTTCTTGTGCCTGTAGCGGTCCGGCTCCTGCCGGAAGCCCTTGCGCTCCAGCTTCGCTATCACCGACGATCTGAACCCGCCTTTGGGGCAGTAGCACTTGTTGCTTTCGGCGCAGGAGTCGGTATCGCATCCGCAGTAAACTACTGAGTTGTCTAGGTTGCAGGAGCAGGACGCGTCCCTCTGGCAATTCGCACCATGACATCTGCGCATTAATCAGTGCTTATTAACTTGCATAATAGGTAATTTGTAACTGTAATACCTGGATTTTCTGGATGAATTCTTCTGTCCTAAAGAGCAGTAGCACTTATCGGCAGACACACACGTGCAGGTATCGGAATCGTAGGAGCATTCGGAACAAGATACATAACCCGACGAGGAGTTTCTGTTTTGGTTGTTCAACAAGCTGAATCCCTGAGCTCGGGCTCTGGATTTTTTTAGCGAGAAAAAGTCGCTTTCCTCGCTGGTGCTCGCCCTGTCCCGTCTGGATTTCTTCCTGTAGCTTTGCTTCTTGTTCGAGGAGAGTTCGTCTTTGGATCGAAATTGCCTCGTGTCGTACGAAGACGTCGATATGGAGGATTCCGGAAGCTTCGAACCCTCGCGCGATGGAATCGCGGTAGTGACCGTAGGTTTATTAGTCTTTTTAGCTGCGAAAATTAATCATAAATTAATATAGTTGTTAATAATATCGCTGTCAGTGTATTACCTAATTTCATATCGAAACTCCTCTGGAAGACGTGCTTCAGTCGCTTGAACTTCGCGCCGACTTTCACCCTGCTTTTCTGCTGCGGAGACTTTTTCAACATCTTCTTCTTCTGCCGCCGCATGATGCTCTTCGAGCGCTGATAGAGCTCGTCTTTGGTCAGCGTCACCGAAAGCTTGAGCAGGAACTCCTTGTATATAGGTTTGAGATCGTTGAAGGACATACCGTCCGGGTCGATTATGACGCCAAGGATGTCGTCCAAGGAGTGCAGGCCCTCCTGCAGCGACAGCTCGTTGAAGATCTCTTTGAAGCCCAACGGTGATCCGCCGCTACCCTGGTCGTTGCTTCTGAAAGCAGGAAGGTTTCCTGGACTCCGATCGACTCTTCAAGAAATAGCTAAATTATCTAGCTCGTTAATTTTATTAACGTAATTTATTTCGTTTGGAAACGTAGCGCATCGACGAGTTTTCCGATTTTTCAGGAAATATGAGATTCGTTAAAATACGTATCGATTGGCCGTGACAATTTCAAATGAACAGGAATAGATGGTTATTAGAAACTCAATTTATGTGAAAGATAAAGAAGTTATTTCGTAACAACATCTCAAAGGCATCGGTATAAATATAGCAACTAATTTAAAACATTTCATCCTTGCGGACGTAAAGTAAAAAATTGGATGGAAGTAAGGAAACAATCTTAGAAATATCCTCCAATAGACGGGAATAAAGGACCTACAAAATTACAGCAGAGAATGAAATCATCTAATAAGGAAAACGATAAATGTCTACGCAGGAATCTCCACGGTACTTGAAGAAGAATAAAAAACAGTATACCGACCTGGAACCTTTGTTCTTGTATCGAGTCAATCCTCCGGCGTTGAGAAAACTGCCGGATCTGGGGATGGTGACTTTAGTCAGTATGTCCCCGGAATTTTCCGGTTTACGAATAGGCTCCTCGGATTTTCTCACTACTTTTTTCAGGCACTTCGTTCCGCCATCGTTCATCATTTGCTTTATTTCCGCCGCTAATTGCTTCTGTTCTTTGGTCATGTACGAATTGAGCTTGTCTTTAACAAACAAATTAAAATTCAATACCGTAACAATAGTGTGATAATGGTAGATTACCAGTGTAAGTTCTTGGTGGTATTTCCTGAAACTCTCTACCGGAGTGATCGGTGCTTTGTGATTGCGTTCTAATGCACTCATTGTTGGTGTTCATTTCGGAATTGTTCGGTTCTTCGTAGGGTAAAATGGCATCTAAATCTTCGGTTTTATTCTGCGGTGCTTTAGGTGCTCTTTTAGTTTTGACACTCTTTTTGGGAAGGCGTTGCGAATTCAGCAAAGGTTTAGTATCCGATATCTACATAAATTATTGATCATTTACACTTGAATTGATTTACTGACGCATTAACTTACGCTTATGATATCCGTTTCGCTAGTGACTGATGATGTACTGCTCCGCTTCTTCCTGGGAGGCCTCACCGGCAACGAGCTCTCCGAACGTTCCTTATTCAAACTGGATGTTACAGACATGCACGTGGTAACGCCGTTTTTGTTCCTCGGCTTATTTTCCCTCGCCTTCATGTGAGCCACCAGCGATTTGTACAAAGTAGCGGCGATTACTATGGCATCTTCAGACGTTTGACAAACAAATCTACAAAAATGTTGTTTGTTACATTCTTTCGTTCGATTACTACACATTATTCACGTATGTTAGAATTTTCGATAGACATGTATTTCTGTATTTAAAGTCCTCCTGGACCTACCCGTGGCATTCCAGTTGTTTCTGTACGCCGATTTTCCTCATCACTACGGCGAATAGCGGCGAATGCGCCTCGGTGGTGATGAATTTCTTCTCGTTGTCGTCGAGCGGACGGAACAAGGACCTTTTGTCCGTGTTATCCGGATCGGTGATCAGGGGCAGAAAGGCGTACGTGGGCCGCGGTTGATCGACATCGTGTAGGACGAATTTCACGGCGCTCCAGACCGCTATTGTCGGAAAGGAGTTTAATTGTTCCAGGTCACCTGGAATATCGCGATTAATAAAACTGTGTTTGTAGGTCATCGGTAGTGAGAGTGTACCTTTTTCGCCTTGGTATTGCACTTTTAATCCGCCGCTGGAAATTTCCAGGCGACCCGTTAGCGTTTTTTTCGTTTTTATCACCTTCTTGTAGGCGAAGTACAACTCTCTCAGGGGATTCTGCAACCCGGACAGGCTGGTTACCTTCTCGTTCAAGGGCACCGATCCTAAATAATCGACGGAAAAGTTGTGTGTACCTATCCCTTTGACACCCATACCTACAGTATAATTAAACATAATGGATTAAACAGAATGTAATGTGGTTTTCGCTAGAATATAACGATTTTGTATCTAAATAAAACAGAGAATAATTGCAATATCAGGCTGAAATTTACTCCAGGTATAGTACACATGTTACAATTATGTATAGTATTCAAAGTATCTCGAGTATTACAGTCGCGATCGATTCTTTGATTCCAATTTTTGATAATTTTTTTACAGATATCGGCCGGAATGTGTGTATATTATTCCTAAGATCCCTCTCAGATCCCTCTCAGAGATAAACCTTCGACTAGGTAACTTCATAGAGAAAGAATCCAATGGTATCAAATCGTATGAGCGAAGTGGCCATTCGACTGGACCATTTCTCGAGACTAAACGACTACCAAATTGGATGACCAAATGAAAATTATACATAATTATAACATGTGTACTGCACCTGGAATAAATTTCAGCCAATTTCAACTTATAAGAATTCTGTTTTATTTAGATACAAAATTGTTGTATTTTCATTGCAAAACCCCTTAATAACAAAATGGTAAATATTGAATTGGAATTAGTGGCATTATACCATTATCTTGCGCTACTTCGTTGAACATTTTTTCGATTTTGGCTTGTACGCTGTTCTTCGTGCTGCTCGAATCCGATTCGAACATGGAGTCAATTTTCTGTTTGTACAAGGAATAGACGCTGCCGGTGTCATCGTTATTGTGGCATGTAACGTCCACCAATCGAAATCCTACAGAGAGAAATATAACAATTAATTTATACTCGATTGGAATCTTAAGAAAAAATTAAGATCAAATGGACTCGTACCCTCGGAGATTGGGCTCGCTTTGCTGCTGTTTTGCTCGCTCGGGCGGCGCTCGGTATATTTCCCGGGAGGTTTTGGGGGCGGTTTGATTCCATAAGTGGGTACCAGTGGACCCGGCGGTAGCGCAGGAGGCCGAGGTATAACGGCGTTGTTCATATTACACATGTCCTCTTTAGGCAAGTTCGGAGTCATTTATAAGGCATTATTTTCCAATATACTCATTAACAATGATAACACATCGCCTAGGCTAATTGGCAACTCCTTTCCTGAAATAAACATTTATGATAATTAAATGGATTGCGCGAAGTCGCCCTAATGCAGAATTTCATATACAGGTCAGTAATACATCCGGCGGTGCATCGAGAAATGCAACTCGGCAGCGACATCAGTGGCCTTTGCCGTTATTTTAACGACCTTAACACTAAGTCACTAACCATTTAATGGAACACATGTGGCACCCATCGGAGTCTGAGATAGGTATTCCTATTGTTACGTATCGTATATACATTAAAATTTTAGCGTTTCGCTTCCGCGTAAAAATCCAATTTCGAATGAAACCTATAACTTTCAATTTACTCGAGGTGATAAGGTCTCGTTCAAGTTATTAAAAAAAATTGCTTTTTATCGTGATTTACGGCTATGAATTTAGGAATAAATTGCAGTGAAACTAGTTAATGTGCATTTAAACTTTCTTTTTGTAATGCACTTCAACGGAAATTGGAGATTTTTCCAATTCGCAAATGCGCTGATACAATCGAGTTTTTTTGAGCTAAAAATAATTAAGGAAATTAATTTAGTACCTACATAGTTAAGAAAAAATTAAATTAGTTGATGGGAATAGAATCTAGCCGATATCAACCTGCTCGTAGACGTTTCTAGAGAATTTCTCTGGCAGAGAAAATCCCGTCGCATTTTCTAGTCGCATTTCAGCGCGGATATTGGCGGATTTTACCGTTGGGCTAGTCTATAAACTTTTATGGAAGTTTCAAAGTTGATCTAATAGGATAGGCGACCCAATAAAACCTTTCGACCGACGGGAATATACTGTTAGGTAACTGTACGCATACTCAATGTTCAGGTGTTCATAAATTTTAGCAAAAAAAATAGCGTAAGAAGAGTCTTTTTTTTGTCCTGTGTCAGTATCGAGAGAATTACGAGATTAGTGCACTATGTTGTTTTTTACCTCAGTAAATTGTCCTGAAGAGGACTTTAGGATTAAGAGGAAAACGAAGATGAAGTTGAAGGAATGACATTCAAATTACTCTAGGTAATACCTAATAATTGGTACCTATCAATCAGAAATGTCTTGAACAGTTCTAAAGACAAGTAAAAGGTGCTTGTAGAATTCAAATTACCATAGTATAAAATTCTCGAATATTGTTTGTTATTAAAATTCCGTGTCAACAAAGCATCCGAAATGAAATATTTCTCGTTCCGGCAAAGATATTTTTTTTAACGAAACGAGCTTAAATTGTTCGACAAACACGCTGCTCCTCGGCTTTGAGTGGAAATATGTATAACGCAGTTCGAGCAAACACAAAAATTCAAAAGGTTAATTAAGCCGAACGAAAAGCCATTGACATTTTTATCTGCCGCTTTTTCGTCTCGTTCGAGAGAGAAAAGTTTCCTTTTGCGAAACGACGATAAAAATATCCGGATTGTTCTACGTGTATATCTATAAACGCAGGCAACAAATAATACGGGGAATTTCATCGAATTTTCGTTAAAGGGCTTACCTCTATAATACCTTTATAATTGACTAAAATTTTCATAGTCAGAACATCATTAACGATGCATAAAAATACTATCGATTTCCGTTAAAGAATGCCAATAGTAGATTTCCTGTTTTTGTGATAATTTTGTATGCAAATAAGGATTAGAATTTATAATGAATATAAAAAAATAAATGTCTTTATTTCCTATACGTTCTTCGATGTTACTTTTATTTCATACGGGTTTATTTTCTGAACAAATAAACCGGATAAAATAGTTAATTCATGAAAAGTCCACAAGAACTAAATTACCTCATTAATTATTAAATAGATTTTTGCTACCGAAATTGATCAGTGGATGATGAAGACCAAAATACTACACCATCAGAAAACATCTCGACTAAATTATCAGTAATTTAGATTTTAGAATAAAGATACCTAGTTAAAAAAATATAGCCTTAATTTGCTTTCACTTCGTTTTTAATTAGCAGCAATTCCCATTGTCGACCGCTGATACTTCCAAGAGTACAGCCGATTTTCTGTTATTTTATGGGCCGTAAAATTTATTTGTAGCGTTGCCTTGCGTTTAGGAAGCTCGAGCATCGCGGAAGAAGTCGCCTATTTGCTAGCTTTCGTAATTTTATTGTATCGATTAATGAGGGGTTTTGCGCTTCATCCGCGTTTATATATAACGCTGGTATTACAACGTAAGTTGTAAATTAGAGTTTATATACGAACATTTCCATTTATAGAACAGCACTTAAAAGTTGGCTGTAAAACTCTCGGAGCAGATGTCAAGTTTATGCGCAATTCAGTAGATATCTACAATAGGTACCTGTGAAAGATTGGACGCGGTTAGTTATAAGACCGTTTGTTTGGATGAAAACCAGGTTGAAAAAATGTCTCGCACATACTGCATTTCTCGTTAGATAACAACATAATAGCAAGACAGGCTGTGACAATTAAGTGGCCAGCAGGAAAAAGAAATCCTGCGAATGCGGCGTAGAAACTAAACGGCCTGCAAATTAGCAGTAACAGTAGTTCGCCACGTTAGGAGCGTTTTAATAAAAGTTAAAGCGGGAAGCATATGGTCGACGAGAAAAATCTGGATGGCTCGAGGATTTCGCGAATTTTTCTTTTCAATCCGCCGCGATCGAGAGCTGGAAATTCATTTGAAACGGCGAGCGATGCACTGTTGCAGGATAAACGTTATAACTGTAAACGCGGAGGTTTAATTGTGAATTTAATTGAAAAAGGATTTACACGTAAGGATTAAAATTGCATAATTTACCCGACGATTAATTAAGTTTAATATTACCTGCGGTCATAATACTTTGTGCTAAATTCGCATTATTCGTTTGATGTGATAAATCTACAAAATAAATTACAGGTAATTTGATTAATGCGATGTATTATGCAATTACAAACGAGAAGTCTATTTACATAATTGTCCAATACTAATTACACAGTATTGTATATTGAAAAAAATAATGTTGATTTTTGCAAACCGAAGACGAATTTTACCATAACATCTTGTAGCTAATTTACAACCAACAAGAACATTAAGTCACGAGAAAGAAAAAACGTAAATAAAAAGCAATAAAACAATCCCATTAATCTTAATACATATTAAACGTTTCCTTCTCGCTGTTACGGCATAAATAATTCGAAAATGCTCTCGAACTAATCTTTGATCGTTTTACGGTAGAGCAGAAGAAACTAGATAATATTGACTTCTATAACATAAACATAATTGTCGCTGGACAGATAGTAGAGAATTATAGCATTTGCCTCTTCGACATGTTATATGGGTAATGCTGTTCGTGTTAGCATACCTAAAAGCAGATTTACGGTTTAAGTACTGTTACAGTACGCACGTAGGAATTTCGCGGCAGCGTAAAAATCTCCCGACTGGTTTACTCACTTTGCTCAAGATCTGCCGAGCGAAACCGTCCTTGACTTATTTATCTTGTTGACGGGAAATTAAAGAAAGCACTTTCGTTTATTTATAGGTACAAACAACGAATAAACAACTAGAGTTAATTAACGCGGTTCCTTCAATTCCCCTATTTTCCATTCACCTTGCACTGTTCCAATGTAAATCATCGGAATATAACACCACGACTTTATTCACCTGGATTGTTTGCCTTAACCGGCTTCTTTCGAACGAACAACTGAATTGAGTAATTCGAAATAACGTTTTTACCAATACATGGCTGAAGAAGAGTAGGTTTATACTTAATGTAATAATAAAAACTTCAAAGTGTATAATTTTCCGCTCAAGTGCGAAGCATTTAAAGGTCTCGTTTTATCCTTGCGTATTTTTTATTGGAAATTTCGAAATTGTTTCTTTGTCTAATTGTCGACGTACGTTGGATAACGATCTGAAAGATGGACAATTATTTTAAAATAATGTAGAAATTTACATGAACATCCTCTAAGTTTGCGCAATTGCAACGTAAAGTAATCGCAAAACTATTCAAATTACAGTTGTCGATTTATCTATCCATAAAAAATTCCCTACAATTTGAAAAATTATTATTAAACGACTATTGCGTTATGTACAGGGCGATTCAAATTAAACTTGTACGTAATTAATTCATTTTTAAGCTATTCGAATACTCAAATAGCAGTAAAATTGTTTACTCAAGGTATCACTTTGTATTAGAAAAAAATAGAGAATCATTATTTCCACCATTTAAAAGATGCACCCAATTAAACCTCCAACTCCAGCAGCCTGCGATTATTATTATGATTATTAGCTAATTAAAATATTTCCGAGTTATCTAAAAGAGAACACGACTGCAAACTGCTAATACTCGTACTGTTTATTGTAATTAGACGTTCGATAGCTCTCTTAAAATTCCTCCGAACCGTTACTGTATGTACTTTCAGACAAAAGCGAACTAAATAATCGAAAACATCTGACAAACGCAGACTCACAGCAACCTCAAAAACTAATTTCGCTGTCAGGCATTATTGCTATGAAGTAGCTGGTTGTTTAACGATATAATTTCAACTTTATATTACAATTTCATGCGCATGTCAATTGGATCAATCGGGGTAAATTTTGCTTGGGGTAAATCCATTTAGATCTGATACGATTGAACTAGAAAGAATCGATACAATTTAACGTTCAAATAATTATCTCTTAGTTAGTTTTCTCGCATACCGTGCTATAAAAATTTTCTTTGCTCAATTAACAGCGAGAAAATTGCAGGTCTTTAACAAAGAAACCTTTAAAGGAGCTATAATTGCAGTATGCTTTACAGTAGATTGACATACAAATTAAATAATTCCAAAACTATCCTCGATTGATATAATAATAACATAGCATTACGGTACACGCTGCATTATGTCTGGGTAGCCAGCAGATCGGTGCTGCGATTATTTAATTATTGCAACAATAAATGTTTCGAATCGATCGAGCTGTTTACTGTTAATTAATATCCCAATGGCCCGCAGTTGGCGTTTCGGCCTTTAACCGAAACGAATTTGATTGGCAGTATTCAAAAACAGAAGCAATAAGTCAATAATGGCGTACGAAACAATGTTTGATATGCGATGGAATTATGAATATTCCGTTAAAGTTTGTTTGCACGAAGGATCATATTATAACACTTCTGCAATCTGACCTCACGGTTTCGAAAACAAGTAACCACTTGATTGCCGGCGAGTACACTTAACACATGATACAAATATTGAAATTAATCGAGTACCATCAATTCCGATCGGCTTGACTTATGGGTTCCCGTAAGTGATACCGCAAGACGGGATTAGAGTTTTCGTAATTACGGGTGGAAAAGAGGCGAAGCAGATGGCGGTTCTCGGTGATTTTCGATCCCAAATATCCGCCGAGTCACCCGTGAAATGCAGTGTAATATGTTTGTTAAAGGAATTGATTGTTAACAGTTATCCGCGCAAGTGGATTTTTTGCTCGTTAGCTGGAATTGCACTCTGTTTGCGCGATTAAGTTGTATACAGTTGCTGCTTTCGTACAGATTTGTCGTTTCGAAATTGAATAACGGTAGTATTTCATAAAGCGTCAGGTTTACGCAGATCGGAGATGGATGGGTAAAATAATGAGAATTATCAACGAAGAGAAAACAACAAAATATGTTTAAAGTAGTCTTTTAAATATAGGTATTATGCGATGTGATGCAATAGGAAAAGTGAAACGTATATGTGGGAACAGTCTCGTTTTATAGATTATTAGGTTAATTAGGTTTAAACAAATTACTAATTACTAATTACATGATCGTCTTTATGATCGTGTTGCAGAATGTTGGGAATTTCTCATAAAAAGATAAATTCACGTTACGGTTTATTATTGAAATATTGTAACTCCATTTTACCGGCGAGTATTTTTATGTTTCGAAATTAAGGAAAAGTTTTAAATATTAACAGAGATTTAATAAATCTTCTAATGAATTCTATATAGTTTTAAACCGTATACGAATATCCTTGATACGAATTCCTTATTGTGAGTAAACAATAAAATAATTTTAAGTATGAAATTATATTTAATATTTAACTTTTTAATTATCTAATCTATTCAATAAAAAAAACAAAAAATATGAAAGAGACAATTTAAAAAACGGTATTTATGCACTGTTAATTAAGTTTAACCTGTTAATTATATTACAGAGCATTCATTCGAATTTTTGCATATTTTAAGCTAATAAAATGTTTAAAAAATCCAAATAGATTTATGGAGAAGAAATATGAATATATAAAATAATTTAATGAATTTTTCTGAGATTAAAATCAATTTACTGAAATTCTGTAATATCTACTAATAAACACAATAGACCATAAAATAACATAAAAATTCAGTGAAAGTGTCTCACGAATAAAGTAAAGTCCATTCATTGAACTTACGCGGATGTCGGATTCAGATTTTACAGTAAATTAAGGCAAGTATCTCCAAATTTAGCTGTTTTCTTCGATAAATATGAACTGATCAAATGAATTGTGAATAAAATCGAAAATAATCCGTCTGTATTTGAATTGCACATAATAATTATGGTTATTTATAACGTTATAAACAATATTATTTAACCAATTTAGGGCAATTGACTCGAATTCTGGGCGATACTGATCATTTACGACTATTAGCAACAAATAATCTTTTAATCCGAAAACCGCGTAAGTTCAGTGAATAAACTATAATAAGCTTTACCAAAGTTTTATCTCGATAATAACCCCCAGTTAATATTGAACTACATAATATAGTTAAAAGTATACTGAAAGTCTTTTCTTCTTTTTGTCATATTCACTATAGAGAGGGAACATTCTGTAATAATCTGTACCTATTACACTCAATCCCAAACATAACCAAAGTTTTGAACTGTTTCAGGGCATTTTTTTCATTTTTTTATCAAATGACTCGAGCCCAAGAAGAGGAAAAGTTGGTGCAAATAATCATTTTTCCTAATAATGGAAAAAAATTGAAGAAAAATATTATTTTCACTTGTTATTCATGCCATTCTTTAAATCTTTGTGGCATAGAAATTATTGAAATTACATTATCAATTTAAATTATTTACCCAGATGGAATAAAAATTATGCCGATGGTAACACAATTTGTTACAAGTCTATTCACGCTTCGACAAATAGGAATATCGAAACACAATCAATAAAATCGAGTAAAAAGTAAATACATAGATACTTTTAGGTATTAAAAAATATCATTTCGTTTGTTAGTCATGAATTTATTTGAACTGTAAGAAGGAAATACATTCTAGGTAAATACTCTATCTGGTAAAAGGATGTACTAGATAGTACTCGCAATAAATGATAGGAATCCACTGATTTCACTTGAATGTTTATTCAAACAAACTATCGGTAGAAAAATATCATAAAATTACTATTTAGTTTATATTAAGTAAGTATTTATTTAAAGTTTTATGATCTAACAAAAAGCCTACTTAGCTAATAAACCAATTAACAATAAAATCTGAGAGAAAAAAATGAGCACACGCTACGCCAGGGTGTCGACTAATAAACCAATTAACGACATCTAATTAACATTCGACTTTCTCTGAATTTTCCCCGATTTCCTCCGCTCTCGCGCCCTCGACGCCAAAGCAAACAGGAAAACTGTGTGTAATTTGAAACCGAAACGTTTTCGCAGTCTGATAAACCCGTAAAAAATTCAAAATTACAAATGCGAAATTACCATCGAAAGCAACGAGTCGCGACCGAAGCGTGTGCTCTCCCTGATACATCATAATTATCCGTTGCCTCCGCTATACAGTTTCGAAGTGCCTCAACTTAAAATCCAATTTTTCGTTCGAAATCGGATATGGAACAGATTTCGTTTCGATGAGAAGCAAACACGCCGCCTATTAACACTTGTTATTACGTTAAATTAAACACTACAGCATTCGTTTTAATGAATTTATTAAACACTATTAGTATACCTACTATAATAGATTAATGGTTTTGTCATAAGAAGTATCAAAAGGAGTCGAAAGTGTTATTTAAATAAACGTTGATAATCTCAATTAACCGGTTGTTCCTATTGTGATAGAAATGTAAAATCCGAAATTTTTATGTAGGCAAAATGCCTACTTGTATTAGAAAGTGCTATTTAACTTCTGTTTCGGAGTGATTTGCCGGTAACATAAGAGAACAAATGTCGCATACAGGCATACGAATTCTTGTAATCTAGATAATAAAAATCCTCGATAATCTATGTCGATCTACAATTCTAGTAAAATAACAGACCGATATGCTATAAAGAAGTGAAATTTTTTACGTAGCAAGTAGTCATAACTACTAATATGGCTTTCCTAACAGTTCCAGTTTCTAGGTTAAGCTGACAATTACTTGAATTTCTTTTAATTCCCGATTTGAAACTGTAAAATTGCGATCTAGAACTGGTGGATGGCAATGCGGTAAACATGTATCATCTTGGTATTACATGATTTTTATCAAGATTTAATAATCCCAAATTCGTTAATGTGAAAAAATAATGTTAAAAAAAGCTATGAGGTGAAGCTATATGGTTGAAGAATAGATCAATTTTGCAACTAAACTTTATATAAATACCAATATGAATGAACTTAAATACATTAAATTATCTAATAAAAGCTATACTTGAGATATTGTTAAAAACTCGAATTCGTTCGAGGGAATATCCTGTATAATCGAATAAATTTTATGATTACAGCAAGAGGGAGTAATTGTTAATGTTGCACAGCAATTCGCATTCAACTACCGTCGATAATTGTTACAAATAAATATTTTCACTTGTATTTCCCAATAAATCATTAATCAACTTGCTTCTACTACTTATTATGCAAATGGTTAATATAGAATATTATGATTTAAACGAGAATTTCATACTTTCGCTTTTATTTACAAGAACGTTTTCTTTGAATTTTTTTTTCTAGTTATTTAATATTTATTTGGTATAAATATTGTTAATATTATTACTTCTGCTTGAATGATTAGTTTAAAATAAACGAGTTTTTTAAATGTGCCATATCAAATTTCATTTAATCGCTTAATAAATTTACACTTCATCAAATGGCTCATTTTAATAAGCTTTCTACCATTAAAATTAGTTGATATTTCTGACCTATCCACCATATGTATGTGTTTCGATTTGTATTGTAGAACAATATAAATTTTAATTTATACCTATACTAAAGTAATGAATTAAGAATGTTTGGCAAATGTTGGTATACCTACAAGTATTACCTATAAAATGACGAAATTATTTTTTAACGAACGAGCAATAAAATCATAAGTTATGTTATGACCAAGAAATAAAATTTCCAGATACGTAATGTACCGTTCCGGACGAAATCGAATCACTTACGTATTATAATTGATAATACAGTTAAGTTTTGTAGTTACTTATACACGAGTTTATGAATAAATAACAAACGTTCTTTAACTTTTACCTACATATTCCGCCTTATAGACGATCGAATATTTTCGTTTTTCCACAAAATCATTTTATAAGGTCATATGTCATTACATTTAAAAGAAGAGAAAGTATTTTTCATAGAGTATTTTAAAATATTTTATATGTATATTATCAAGGGAACATCTGCGGTTCGTATTGTATTAGTAGAGTATGTAAATCGCTTTCTTATACTCGCGTATGCATAATTAACGAATACATTATGGGCAATTTTCGGCGCCGATTTTTTTTAAATTAAAAGCCAAACACAATGCCGATAGAATGCGGATTTTTGCATGTATGTAGGTATTCAAATAGGAATTGGAATTTACTAGATAATTACTGTTGTTAACAAATTCGTTTCTCTTTTACAATTCACTTCCAATAAGAAATTACAAATTGTGGAACAAATTGATTTACAATAATTTTAACTTATCTATTACTTGAAATAATTTTCTATAACTAATTAAATAATGGAATAAACAAAAGTAAAATCTCCAATGTACAATTTACAACTGATAATTAATTTAATACCAAAAATAATAAAATACATACCTTTCAACAGGGTTCACAAACATTGAAACGCACCGGAAAACCCGTCAGCATTCGTCACAAAAAATTCATCCACAAGAAAAGAAAATCCACCGCAATTTTCCACCACTATCTACAAATTTTTCACACAAAACACACGATCGGACGTTATCTCGATAATCCGCGTACGGAAAGAAAACCAAGTGATCCAGATAAGCGCGCTTTCTTGCAGGAAAAGAAGCGCGTACCGCACCGTTGGGCAAGGAGTACCAGCGAGGATGGGTACTCGTGCGGTACCAAACAGCAACACCGTGACTGGCCTGGTCAATTTCTTGCCGAAGATATCCCCTACTTTGTTGGCTTCACGGTACTTTATCGCCGAGACGATTGCTTTACAGTTGTCGGGTACTGTTGGTACTTGCTTACTTACGTTACAGATGTAACAATTTTGTTAAATGCGATAAATATGATTGATGTGGTCATGTATTTATGTATGTGAGGATTTTTTTTTTCGTATATCGATTAATAATTAAACAGTTATTTGTTGTGGTAATGTTGGTATTACATGCAGTTGTACGATTCAATTTGTTTGGAAAAAAATTGAGGATTTTAGCGGATTTAATTGGATTTGGTTGAACTAACTAATTTATTTGGTATTGATGGAACTCTGAATCCGATTGTTCATAGAGTTTGGCTCGTATGGAAAAATTTGCACATTTCGAATACCTCCAATATGTATAGCGAATGGGATTATTTGAATATATGCGCACTATTTCCACTGAGAGTAAAGCACCGCATATGAACTATTTCCAAGCAAAATAGACTAAAGAATATCCATTAAAAATATACCTACATTTTTTTATTGAAACGGAATTTTATAACATTCATTACATTTTAAAATTTTTAGAGGACAATGACAATAATAAAAAAATTAAAAAACCTTCTACATTACCCTGTTATTCATTGTAACTCAATTAAACTCTGATTACTGGATCAAAGCGATATTTTCCTAAAAATTAATGGTACAATTGTTACATTTATGGGGGAGTCCCAATGAAAAGCAGTCCCTTTAATGAGCTTATAATTTTTAAACGCCTAATCATAAAAACATGCGGTTCTTTCAGATATGTTTTATTTTATGATAAGTTTTGTTACAGTGATACAGAAATTATGCATTTTAAATAGACGGTGTTTTATCAAAATCTCCTCTTTTAAATTCACTGTAACTATTTTTTATAAATGGAACACCCCGTATATATAGAGTTATTTTGAAAGATACATATACTCTAAGATTCTACTTAAAATCTAACTAAAAATGTATTATTTGTACATGTTATTCTACAAAAGATGATGTCCTATTTCATAAAATTTGGTTAATGTGAATTTAAAAGAAGGAATTTTTTGAAACACTCCCTACAGGCGATACAAAATTTTTGTGTCAATGTAACAAAAAGTTACAGAAAAATAAAATATGTATATCTGCGAAAACCGCTGTTTTTATGATATATAGGACGTTTAAAAATTATTGCCACATTAAAGAGGCTACTTTTTTTTGGGACACCCTATATTACAGTTCCTTCATTTTTTAAGGAGGTATTCCACAAAAACAAATAACTGAAGTTTTTAAATCGTTACATTAATAACTTGTTTACAGATTGTTAGATAATATTTGAAATTCAAATTTTTGACATTATTTCAATTGTTACCTATGTGTTTACTAAAATGGTTATTTCAAGAATCCTACCCATGTCATATTCGAAAAAAATTGCATAATAATACTAGACGTTTTAATATTATGAACATGTTGGTACTTACAGAAAATAATTTTTAATACTACTTAACCCTGTTGAAAACTAAATCTTTAGTTTTCCCTTAAAAGCTTTCTGTACAGGGTGTTTCAAACATGACTCCTGAAAAAATATCACCCTGTAGATTCAACAACCATCTGACATACCCAATAATGTATGCCCTATAACGCAATCTATATTCCAAATTTGTACTAAATATCTCAAAAACTGCAGGAGCCCTAAAGAAAAAAAGAGAAAAATTTTGAAATTTCAACACCCTGTAAATCGGTAACGAAGCCTTTGCGTACCTATACATATGATGTTTATATAGGAACTTTTAGTCATGAAATAATCCAATGAATTACACCCTTCCGTGTGAATGATGTTTAGGAACCTCCTGTATATTAGCAAAAAATCATGACAATTACACTATTGCCAATTTTTTTATAGTGTGATAATAGCTAGGTGTACAGTTTGTTAATTTTTCATCAGGAAAATTACAAACTAAGGTGCTTAAAAAAGTTAGAATTGTGTATAACGCGCCATCTACCGATTCTATGAACACTCACTGATTCCGCTTTATTCAGAAAACCTGACTGAACTGATGTTAAAACGTATAATACACTGCAGAGGTGGCAATAAAAATTATTAATTATCAAAAATTACAAAATAAATTTAAAGTTTATGAAATTATAGGTAAGTAAAATCTTCGGTAATCCTAAGACAGTTTCTTCATAAGTGTAATACTTCTTCAATAAGTAATTGGTAAATGATATTTATTTCTGTCATCCGTTAGATATTAAAAACAAATCACTGAATTTTCATTATGTAAGGGGGTGAATTAAATTGCTCATTCTAATAAATTTATATCATATTCAATTTAGGGTTCTTTAAGTTTGTATTAAAATTTTTAATTGAATAAACTGAAGCTTTTTTAATATTGTCTAGACTGGATGTTTCACAATAACTATTCTTAAAATAAAACTATGAAGTGGTAGTACCAATATTTACATTCGACTTCACAACCCGCACTTACATACGACATTAATAATTCCAGTCGAAACTCTTTCATCATCCACGTTTCCTCCAGCAGGTATGCCTACGTTGCTCGCCTAATCGAGCATCGAAATCTCTTCGCGTATGTACGCGTCCTTACGTACACTCCCTGTCATCAACACCTGTAAACTGTAAATAAATAAAGTTTCGAGTTTTCCCTTTCCCTATCTGATGCTAAGGTGCATCGAGGATCGAGGGCGAGCGGCACACGCCGCGCGGACCTCGCTTAACCCACTTTGACCGCCGCGTTCCGCTTCGAAAAATTGACTACAGTTTTTAGTATCGGCGGTATTTTCCAAACAATTTTATATCTAAGAATACTGATCTTTTGGTTTTCGTAAGTAATTCGTACCAAATTGTTCCTGCTAAAGTTGATTTGGTTATGTAGAGGGAGAGGCAAAAAATCCACTTAGATATGAGAGAAAACGGTGATCAAAAAGTCTGTAACTTTTAAAATAATTGCAAAATTTGCGAACTTCCTTAACTTTTGTGTAGCAGTTTATATTGTATCTACGATAGATATTTCCGAAGTTCAATGAAGACTGGATGAATAATGCTGCACTGGATAGAACATATCAAGACTTGTAGATCACAATAACACTGTCTATAAGTCTATGAATAATTTAATTAGAGCAAAATTCCCAGGACTCTAGAAACATCCCTTGTACTTTCACTAACGTAGGTAGACATATTTACTCATTAGAACTTCTAGGTTATTGTTTAATTGGGCGATTTGGGATGAAAATAAATCAAATAGTTAGGTGTCCAAATTAAATAGTAGAAACTTGTTAATCTTCCAGAAAAGTTTCAGTGAGTATATGAAAATAGGTTTGCATTGGTTTACATTAAAAAATTATTTGATACCTCCGCTACTATCATTCACTTACCTGTCTCATAAGGCAAGCCAACTTGATTTCATACAACCTACCTGTTGAATGTCGACTATCGCAGTTGGCTGAGAGACGTGAAACGGCGCATATTCGCTATAAGCCCGAAGCCGATGGTACATTGTTTGGTTTCTTTGACAATCGCGAGTTTCGACAACAACTGCTCGTTTTCGCGTCGATTTCGGGCGATTCGGGGTGCCCTCGGGGCGATTCGATAGGGCGAACGGGCGTTTCGGGCGACAAAACACAGTAAAGGGCTTGTTGTTGGGTGCTTCTTGTTGTTGTGGTTGTTTCACAGTGCCTGCTTGATTTTGGATAGTTGCTGACGAGTCGGATTGTTTTGTGGTGAGTTTGGTTTACTGTAATTATTTTTTATGTCGAGTAATAATTATGTTACTTAAAAATGCAAAATAGTTATTTAATAAAAATTGCGTGCATTTAATTAGTGGGGGATTGTATTGTAATACCTATACATATGTTGCATGGACTTGAAAAATTCGTTGTTTATATACATATACACGCAATTTTTATAAATTGCAGGAATAATTACATAAATGTGTCTTACTTTAATAACAAAATAGTTAAAATTGTAAATTTTTAAAATTTTGAATCATCCTGTAAAATTTTCTTGATTACGGTATTTATGCATAAACAATCAATTAGTATTGACAAGACATACTTGTTGTGTGATTTTAAAAATCAAGGTTAGCGCATTTTATTTCCACAACCTGTTTTTCTATTGATTGAAATTTTTTCAAAAATTTGCAGGAGCGGAAAAACGATCATTAAAATTTTAGACCGTATAATTAATCACACAAACACAATATAATTAGCAAAAACCTAATTACACCATTTAGCAAATTTGTTTTTAAATAGGTAATAATAAAATTCAAAAAAACATAATCGAAGGTTCAACAGTCCGTTAAACGGATTAATTACCTGTAATTTACGGCGAATTTATTTAAACCGGCTGCAGATCGTCCGGTAAAATTGAAGTAGATTAGTCTCCGTATATGACTTTTTATCAATAATCGGAATAGCACTTGTAATATGTAAGTAACTGTTTAACTTTCACCTCATTATTTTCGCATACAAATGCCCGAAGGCTTCATTTTAACTATACAAATATTGTTTATTAATGTTTTTCCTGTCTGCCAGACTTCTCATTACGCGAGGTGATACCGCAAAGTCTACATACACACATTCGGAGAATTATCGGTATATTCCTTATACAGGGTGATTTTTTGTTTATAGAAATCAATAAAGTACCGTATCATACTCAAAACTCAAAAATAGGGGATGAAAATTGTCCATATGCGGTACTTTTTATTGAAGTTAACGGGCCAATTTTGTAACAAGAACGCGGATTAAACACAACGACCCATATGTTATATGTTTTCAGAATTTATCAAACGAGACACCGAACACGAAAAAAGTTGTTCCTAATAGAATAATTTATGGCTTATTCAAATTTGGTTCTGTTATGAGACTAGATAAATTTGTATTTCTAATTGCAAAATTATGTGCAGTTGCCACACTGAATATGATTAGATAGGAGTAATTCTTACACTTCTAGGAAGATTGATTTTC